TATTGCTTTAGTGGTACTAAAAATACCATATAGGATTATAGCAATAATTGTAGATATAATGGTATATGTATTGTAGTTTGTTATTGTTATAAATATTGTCAACAGACCACCACCCCTGGTTCACAATAGTACTACCATATGGTTTGCATATTGCATAGCAATACTATAGTTCATAATCAAACCCTACCATTGATATCCATTGATATTATCACCATTGTTACAGCCGTTGTTATTAGTATAGCATTTTATAAACATACTATAAAAAACTCTAATGCACTAAATATCCCATTACAATGGTATATAACAATCTTATTGGCTTATGTTATGGTATATCTATTCCCCAGCTTATAACTATATATACATATCTATTCCACAATATAGCTGGAAGGGGTCATTTTCAGGTTATATACAAGTATATGAACATAAATCATTTCCATAATAATGGTAAAACTATATCAGGTGTTATAATATATATATATACCCTCTGGTAATTTAACATAGCTATTGAAAATGGCCATATAAATAGTGAATTTTCCAATTAAAATGGTGATTTTCCATAGTTATGTAAACGTTTACCAGAGGGTAAGTTCCATATTTATTCCACAACATCCTGATATAAATATATAATATGGAATATAAATAAACAATATGGAATCTGGAATGATTGGAATTTATTCCACAATTAGTATATCAGGGAAGCTGGAAGGATATACAATCATTATCTTTTCCTTCCAGCTTCCCCGCAGGTCACCTCCGAGGAACGCGAGGCGGTGCTGCGGTCCCTGACCGCCGACCTGCGGCCGCCCATCCGGTGAGCCATGGTCGTGGTGAAAACCGGTGGTAGCCTCTGGTTATGACTGACATATTTAACCCTCTGGTTATGACATATCTATGGTTATTTAACCAGGATTTACTATGAATTAGTAGGTTTTATGGTGATTTAATGTGATTTAATAGGATTTAGCCTCTGGTTATGACTGACAGTTTGCCATGGAAAATCCACCCATTTTGAAGAACGGTAAACCATTTATTTCTATGGGCCATCTATACCATGGCGAACTGTTAAATAACCAGAGGGTAATGTGGGTAACACAATAATAATACATCCGTTTGGGAATGGTAAACATACCACCAATAGAAATGCTGATGATTGGGGGATGGGTTATTATTGTTTTATCCACATTGATGTGGAATGATTGAACTATCGCATGAACTATCGCAACCTTAAAATATGGTTTTGATGTGGAATCCCACTGTTTGATGGTCTTAAATCCGATTTTCTGGCAATTAAGATGAATTACCCTCTGGTTATTTGTTACATAGCCATGGAAAATCACCTTTTTTAATAGCTAAACCATCTATAAATGGGCCATTTTCCATGGCTATGTTAAATAACCAAGCGGCAAGTGATCACCAACTGGGATGGTCGTGCGACCGGCGAAAACGCCTCACCAGGTCCTTTATGCAAAGCCTCAGTGGCGAGGAGGACGAGGAGGAGACCTCGGGCAGAGAAACAATGTGTTTTTTATCGTCAAGAATAAGGGTTTAATGAACACACTTGTGATTCAACTAATGACAATTTGAATATTACTAACAAAAATAGTGATTCAGCAACCAACTATGGTCATTTAAGAATCAAACATGGTGGTACAACTGGTGATTTCACCAGCCGCCATGTTTTTTTTAAGCGGCAAACATGATGATTCACGAAATAATCGAGAAAGTCAGCTGGGAAAGTGGCATCGAATGTGTGCGGGAACTGATTTCTCAACAAGCAACCAGTTCTGCTGGAAGTTTTGACTTGCCGTTCAAATTCAGTTTTGATCGTCTGAGTCTGGCAGTTTTTACTTCATGTGGATTCATTGGAGGCCTGTGCAGGACAATCCCGCTTCTGTTGGTCACAAGATGGATAGCTGTATTGTACACACACACACACATATATATATATCCTGGGCCTTCCAACTCCTAAAAAATATCAGTCGTTTTGCACAATCAGGCGTTTCATCAAATTTATGGTCGTATGGAGCGTTTCCCCCAAAAGGTTAGGCGTGGTATGTCATGGCTGTGTTTCCCATCGGCATGGCCCTCCTCCCAGTCTTCTCACCAGTATTTTGCTTTCAATCCACACATCCAAGTTGGTTTCTGTTTAATTGCGCGCTCCCAAAATTATACAAATTTACCACATTCTTGGATTTGCGGGTTTTTGCGGGCGTTTTGCGGATTTTTGCGGGCGTTTTGCGGGTAATTTTGGGCGCAGTTATGTGCATTTATATGCGTTGGTGCTCGGGATATGAGAATGGCCTGGTATGTCCCTGGGTCGCAGCCAGGATGCAAGCCATGTTCAGTCAGATTCAAAATGTCACTGTCACTTGTGGTGATAGTGTGGCCACCAGGAAGCAAAACCAGGCAAACTAGTAGAATTAGACGAGATTCTGAAAACTGGGTAATCTTAGGTCATACTCCAAAACTACCAACAATAATTGATCGAAGGAATGTTCAGGATATTTACACATGTTGGTATAAATTTTAGAGCTGGGCAGGTAATGATATGTCCATTAAATCGCACTTGATTTTGCAATCCTAGTTGTTATTGGTCGGCGTTTTTCTCGAATGCGTAGCAAGGGTTTCCGTTTCACTCTGGGGGTCTGGGGGTTGAGGGTGTGTTCGCTCGACGTTGCCCAACCGTTCGCAATCGTCCGCAACCGTTCGCGGGCGACCGTGTGAGGGCCGTATGACCGTGCCTATGGTAAGTTCTGCAAAAGGGGTTGCTTTTGGAGGTTTCCAGCGTCGCGTTGCTTCGTTTCGCATGGCATGTGTGGCACTTGGTGACATCCAGACGTGTTTCGCAATGTGTCGAAAGTCGTTTTTTGTGGCAAGCGCAATACTTTTGCGACGTTTTCAGAAGATGAGTTTCTGTCTCCACACTTTACACTTTACACTCCACACTTTACACTTTACACTCCACACTTTACGCTCCACACTTTAAACTTTACACTCTAAACTTTACACTCCACACTCCACCCTTTACACTCCACACTCCACACTTTGCACTTTGCACTTTACACTCCACACTTCACACTCCACACTTTACACTCCACACTTTACACTTTACACTCCACACTTTAGACTACACTTTACACTCCACACTTTACACTTTACACTCTACACTTTACACCTGCTTTACACCTAGGCTTTTACCACTAAGCATGAGATTCACCCAATTCTGGGAAAAACAAAATTTGTTTATCAGCAAGAAATAACAATTAAAGCAACAAAACATGAAACATAATGTGGATACCATACACCCCCCTTCCAATAAACAAGATGCAGCCCAGGAACCCGAATGCAGTCACGTAGAACGCTTCTGTAAAACAAATTATTTGAACAGTCTTTTAATGTTGTATTCTGATTAGTGGCTAGGTTCGCTATTGTGGCAAGAATTTTCCAAATTATTCTGAACCCATGTGTTGTTTGGAAGGTTCACTATTGTGGCAAGAAATCTTGGGGGTGCATTTTTTTGCCCAAAAAAAATGATTGTAAAAAAAAATCTCAACATTTTTTCTGAAAGAATCTTGCTTTTCTCCCTGTCCAAAAAGAATCAGGCCGCTTATTAAACCCTTATTAAAGAACAGTTTTTCCAAAAAATCCCAGGGCACTGGGCCATGAGAGGGTCCAATTCACTTTAATTAGTAGGTATGTCCTCAAGGGTCACAGTTGCAGCAAACTTTTCCAGAGCTGATCCTGGAGCCAAGAGAAGAAAGAAAAGCCTTTTACAAAAACAATTGCCAAGTTCAAAGCCCAAACCTTTCCCAAAAGAATCAGGCCGCTTATTAAACCCTTATTAAAGAACAGTTTGTCCAAAAATTCCCAAGGCACTGGGCCATGAGAGGGTCCAATTCACTTTAGTAGGTTTGTTCTCAAGGGTCACAGTTGCAGCAAACTTTTCCAGAGCTGATCCTGGAGCCAAGAGAAGAAAGAAAAGCCTTTTACAAGAACAATTGCCAAGTTCAAAGCCAAAACCTTTCCCAAAAGAATCAGGCCGCTTATTAAACTCTTCTTAAAGAAGAGTTTTTCCACACATTTCCAAGGCACTGGGCCATGAGAGGGTCCAATTCACTTTAGTAGGTATGTCCTCAGGGTTCACAATTGCAGCAAACTTTTCCAGAGCTGATCCTGGAGCCAAGAGAAGAAAGAAACGCCTTTTACAAAAGCAATTGCCAAGTTCAAAGCCCAAACCTTTCCCAAAAGAATCAGGCCGCTTCTTAAACCCTTATTAAAGAACAGTTTGTCCAAAAATTCCCAAGGCACTGGGCCATGAGAGGGTCCAATTCACTTTAGTAGGTTTGTTCTCAAGGGTCACAGTTGCAGCAAACTTTTCCAGAGCTGATCCTGGAGCCAAGAGAAGAAAGAAAAGCCTTTTACAAGAACAATTGCCAAGTTCAAAGCCAAAACCTTTCCCAAAAGAATCAGGCCGCTTATTAAACTCTTCTTAAAGAAGAGTTTTTCCACACATTTCCAAGGCACTGGGCCATGAGGGTCCGATTCACTTGAGTAGGTTTGTTCTCAGGGTTCACAATTGCAGCAATTTTTTCCAGAGCTGATCCTGTAGCCAAGAGAAGAAAGAAAAGCCTTTTACAAAAGCAATTGCCAAGTTCAAAGCCCAAACCTTTCCCAAAAGAATCAGGCCGTTCATTAAACCCTTATTGAAGAAGAGTTTTTCCACACATTTCTAAGGCACTGGGCCATGAGAGGGTCCAATTCACTTTAGTAGGTATGTCCTCAGGGTTCACAATTGCAGCAAACTTTTCCAGAGCTGATCCTGTAGCCAAGAGAAAACAGAAAAACCTTTTACAAAAGCAACCTGTGATTTCTCTTTCTTTTTCCCTTTCTCTTTTTTTTCCTTTCTCTTTGTCTTTCTCTTCCTCTTCCCCTTCCTCTTCCTCTTCCTCTTCCTCTTCTTCTTTCTCTTCCTCTCTCTCTCTCTCTCTTCCCTTTCTCTCGTTCCCTTTCTCTTTTCTTTCTCTTTCTCTTTCTCTTTCTCGACTCTTTCTCTTTCTCTTGTTGCACGGCTCCTTTTAAAAACTTAGGGTGGAAAAGGTAACGCAATGAACCCCACTCACTACAAGTACTACAAGTACTACAAGTACTACAAGTACTACAAGTACTACAAGTACTACAAGTACTACAACTTCATCGGCAAACACAAATAATTATTTCAATTGTAACCAATTGGAATCCTTACTTAAGTGCGGTTTTTTTCCCTGGGAAGAAAATTTTTGGCGCTCAACTTTAAAGAGGGTATAGTATAGGTATTGTTTGCGGGGGTGACCGCACACTAATCAGGACGCAACATTACATGCTGCCCCTTCTGTTTGAAGGAATCCTTTGTTTTCGGTCGATAGAACCACTGACTTTTGAAATTAAACATTTTTTGGTGGATATCGTAAACATATTTTTTATCGTAAAACATAATATCAACCTACTATTTTTTCGGTTTTGCAGGACAAACTGAATAGTTTGGATATCGACTTTGACAAGCCGCCCAAGTTGATCCGCAAAAGCCTGGACGACGAAGACGGCGACGACTGGACCTTCGCAGTGCCTCCGATCCACAGATCTTACATGATCTTATCATACTAGGCCAAGTAAACGAGGTGCTATACATATACGTATATCTATATTTAAATATGGCGTATACATATATATAGATAAAACAATTATATATATTTACATGCGCACATGCAATTTCAAATGTATATATACATATGTATCCTATACTATGTCATTAGGTCCCTAGGGCTTCATTAAGTTTTCAACGTGTTGTAACCCAGTTATGGCTGGAATTGGGGGCCCATGTTTCTGGAAAGTTCAGCGGCTTTTATGTGGAAGTGGTGCATTTGACCTGCAGCAGACGATATGCGCGCGAACATATTCACATATACATTGTCATAGCCACTATATACATAGTAATCAAAACTAATTCTTACGTGTACCTCTTATGTATTTGTCGTCATGATGAGTTCAGATGCCTGCTATCAATATGAATTATAAAAATGCAACATCATAGAAATGCACCAACCTCTATTACCAGCATTATATGTGTAGTATATATATATATATGCCCACTGTTGGTGGTATTATATACCATCGTAATCATAATCAGATTGTATTGGCTTACATCTGGAAAACAAACTAGATAGATGATAGACTAATGACAAACCTCCACGATCTTTGATTATTTATATATAATTATTGGTGGCATATGTTTTTAATGAATATCTGTTTGTTCGGAATTTGATTCACTTGAATAAACACATAAAACATTTCAAAAAACACATCATTCCTACCAGCTATTGTCATGCTCCCCCCTTTTTTTACCGGTGCCCTGTGGGGCTCCACCATCCCAGGCCGCCATGGTGGAGCAAGCGCGAAAGAGTCGTGCCAAGCAGCGGCACAAGAGGCCCGTGAAGGTGGAGCAGGTGGAGTTGACAGCTGCTTGGCTCACAGTTACTCGTACATATTCACATGCGAAGAGATATATCACGATATTTATTTTTATATTGTATTATTGATAGATATATCTATAAATATGTACTCGTATGGGTGAATATAGGCATACGTTAAAAAACAGATTTAAAAAAAGTGAAGAAATGAATAGATAAACAGGTATATATATATATACGTATATCTACGCCCTTAGCTTGGCTGAACTCTTCGAGAAGGCGATGGAGAGAGAGAGAGAGAGAGAGCGAGGGAGAGAGAGAGAGAGAGAGATATATATATATATATATATTGCATATGTATATACAACTGATAGATAGGCATACATAGAATCCTCCTGTACTACGATCAGACGTAATCAGCCCCCTAAAATGACACCAAAACGCACGGATTCACAATGCCTTGGGGAAGAAGGTGCCTTGCATGCTCCGAACTGAGGGCGGTAAATGATGAAATACATATATATATATATATATAAAACTCATGCGATAAACCCAAAACGGTTAACGACGATGGTTAACTATTCCTTAATTTTGATCAGAAATGGGCCAGATATGAAGTAGAAACCAGGACCAGCTGGAGGTTGATCATTGGGTTTACCACATTGCGCTCCGCCCTGAAGACGGAGGTAAGCCATGCGCTGAATGACCGGCAGATCACATTGAAGCTCATGAGACCCTTGGTTTTGGAATATATGCATACCTGGGGTTTTAACATGGGCAAAACCCAAAAATAAATAAATAATCCTAAACTGCATGTGTTTCAGTTTGTTTTGCTTCATTAATACACCTGTAGACATATTGAACCCATGCAGCTATGGTAGCGTCTGGTTTGCCGCAGGCTCGAGGAATCCAAACATGTCATAGGTTCTTTAAGCATGCGTCTACAGTGTTTGCAAGACTGGAACATCAATTTGCAGTCATGATTGGATTTGTCATCACCGTGGGCGCATGGCCCATCATTATTTGCAGCAGGCTTCAACTGTGTGTGTCATTGAAATTTCAGTCCGACCTGGGGTGATTATCATCAATTGCATCATATTGGTTAACATGTTTACGTTTATTAAATATTCAATAAGATTACTCATGTTCTTGACCTTGTCACATTGGCCAAAAAAAACGTTGGGCTATATATTGACGATCCTGACTAATTATACTGTACATAATCTCAACATATCTTAACCATCTGATCTTGGCTGGGTTGAAACCACCGAAAAAAAAACATCACTTTTCGGCGATGAGGCAATAGCACCTTCGCAGACGCGAAGCAGGCGATCCTGGACCGCCTACGCGAGGAGGGCAAACTCTTCAAGAAATTCTATTTTGTCCCAGGCCTCAGCTTGAAAACAGCAATGATGCTGGTTATCCCAAGAAACAAATTCTGCTACCCTGGGGTAAACATACAAAAAGTGTGGAAAAATCCTGAGGAAAATGAGTTGCACACTTTGGGTTATCCACATCTAGGGTTGCTTACAAGAGGGCAACAACTCGTGTTCAATCATAGTCAAACAGTTTTTCGGGTGTTAAACCTTTTCAAATAGTCGTTAATCCCCCAATGTTTGTTAGACATGTGGAGCTCTTTGTTTGTCCCTGCCTGACATCTTAGCCAATAATAGGGGTTTGTACAGAATTTTCAGTCTCGGAGTTGAAACATCATGTTTTGGAGGGTCTATACGGATACCTGTTTGGTGGTTCTATAATGAAGGGATTTACTTGTCCGAGCCTCAGTTTTCGCAACGGCCACTGAAGATTTTTTCCGTACTTTTGTGGGGTTGAAAGATCAGTTTTGTTAGCAGCATGGTGATTCAGCACCCCAAAAGGTGATGGTGATTATTTGTTCACCTCTTGGAGAACTTTGATTTGGCACTGCATCCATTCATTCTGGCACCCGGTGTGTTGAGACATCTTAGGCTATTCATGGCTATTCTATCGCGGATGAAATCAGGGAACTCAGTGATCGATTTCATCTGTCTTTTTTCCGAGGTCAAAAAGGAACGGAGCACCTACCAGGCATACAAGGACTCGGACACCCTGCGGCCTGGCATGCCTTGGAATCATAAATCCTGTTTGTTGACTATGGAGCACCATGTGTACCTGCAGACATAGAAATATACATAAATAAATAAATAACTTTACTTCGAGTTATCCCCACCATGACATTTATACATTTTGTTACTGGCAAATTTTCTGGCATTCTATCTGACATACCTTTTGGCATTTTATCTGGCATATCTTCTGGCATATCTTCTGGCATTCTAGCTGGCATATCTTCTCAGGTAAAGGTCCAGCGGTGCACACTGAGCTGGAACGGTCCCAGGTTGAGGTCCAGCCGTGCACACTGAGCTGGGAAGGTCCCAGGTTGAGGTCCAGCGGTGCACACTGAGCTGGGAAGTTGGCACAGAGCTTGGCGAAGAGAGTTGGCAAAGAGTTTGGCGAAGAGTTGGCAAGGCGGAAGTGCAGGTGGAAGTTGATGCAGACATGGTCGAGGAGAAACTGAAGGAGGAGGCGAGGAGGAGGACGAGGAGGAAGAGGACAGCTAGTCGAGGAGGAGGAGGAGGACGAGGAGGAGGAGGATGAGGCGGAGGAATTGCGCTCTGATAAAATCTAACAAACCTCACCTGGCAGGTGGGGAATAAACATATATATATATTATATATATATATTCATCATTTTTAGGGGTTCCTTGTCAGTAAAGGCGTGTTTTGTCAATTCTGTTAAGTCTGAATGCGTGATTCGTGGCCATCATTGCCCAGTGTCGTCATTACAGGAAAGCATTGTCAGTAGCAGGCCGTTGGCCTACTGGAATGAACGCTTGAAGGTTTCATTCATGAGTAGGGCTTTGATGTGGGCTGATGTTCCATGATATCCCAGGAATAGAGGGATGAAACCCGCTCAGAAAAAAAAACGAGACCCTTTACTCACTTCAGGAGGATCTTGCTGTATCTTGGTGTTGGCTACTCATATTGCCGCGAAACACAGGTACTTTCCTTTCTTGGGATCTGGGGCGATATCTGAAGGAATCCCACGAGAGAACTCGACAAATATTGGATGTCAACCCAAGATTGATATCGATCCGGAAATTAATTTGAGCGGCGGATGGCATAACTATTTGGTGGGAATCCCCGAATTCGAATCCTTTCTATGACTTTGTTACTATAGTAATAAGACAACACCAAAAAAACGCAATGTGTAATTTTGAGTACTTGATCATATCATTGACATTTATTGAGTATCAAACAGGCTAGATCGTGAAATTAAGGATGTAATTTCATCAAACCAAGTAATTGGCTGGTTAGTTTCATTGGGGTTGATTAATCAGGCGTTATCAATCCAGGGTTTCGATGGTTGATCAGCCCCCAACTTGTCAATCAACCAGCATTATCAATCCCCAACTAGCTATTACCCAGTTAAACCAGTTTGAACATTACTAGTCTCAGGTCCCAGCTCAAGCATTTAGTTAATCACTTAGTACAATTTTAAGGACGTGTTAAAATGGTCGATATTTTGTCAGATCATGATTGCTCACAGTATGATTTCATTAATATTGGCTGGTCAATTGTCTAATTGACTGGTCAAACAAAAATTATCCGGACATTACTATATTACTGGTTAAGGACCAAGCAACTACATAGTAACCCAAAAAATAGTTGAAGCATATCAAGCTTCCCACTGAGTTTCGGAGATGGCGATGGAGAGAGAGAGAGAGAGAGAGATCCTATTGGGGATTGCTAGAACTATCGCCGGCATCGGTCGCCGCAGGATACCGACCCCATCGGTCACATCCGGGAGGTGCGATTGGGATCAATGGAAGTTGGGAAGATCAGTAGGGTTGTGACGCACATCATTCAATGACACATGCATTATTTCACATGTTTATGTAGAGAAACCGGGAATTATCCGGCCACACACACACACACACACGTATATGTATATATATATATACATGTATTATATATGTATATATACATGTATTATATATATATTTAATTTACTCATCAAGTGACTTTACCCCTTCAAGCAGTTCATGTCAACCCCTGCCTCATAAATCTTGAGTGGCTAATTACTGAGGGGACAGCGTCAAACACATTTCACAGACTTGGATGGACATCAATCCAAATGCTCAGTGTATGGATATGTGTGGTATGTTTACCTTTACATCTGCCCAACAAGAAGATACACACAGGAAATACACAAGTCCCAGAGATGACATCGGTTAGGAACTGACCCACTATGAGATTGATTTGGATTGAGTGGATTCTTGAAATCATTTAATTTGGCAGGTGACATTCCTGTTGTAGTTTTCTTTATTGCAATTTGTGCTTAAATCGCGAAATTTAGCGGGTTCTACAACCACACAGGAGCAATCATGTCCCCATGACTGCTCGTGAGATCTCAATTCCCGGTGGTTAGGTCACAATTCCAATGAAATCACCAGATGTTTCGGATAAGGATTGATAGAATATCATAATTTGATGCAACCAACAACACGTAATCAAACATGGGGCCTTATTACTGTATACGTTTATATGTTTTTATATGTATAGAGAGATATAGATATAGCATTCTACAATAATCTACAATATGTTAAAACATATTATCTATAATAATAATCTATAATATATATATATACATACACGCTATCAATAACATGCCATAAAAACGCTGATCCAGGTCCGGATCATCGGTGCAGATCTGCCGTTGGAGACCAACGCAGGGGCCTTGCTCTTCGGCGACTGAGGCGCGGTGCCGAGCGGTGCCGTCACTGGGGGGCGGGAAACCGGATCGATGAGGGGTTGCAACATGTTGTGTTGAAACATGAAAAAGGCTGATGTTACCCTCTGGTAAACTCACCTAACTATGGAAAATCACCATTTTTAGTGTAAATCAACTATAAATGGCAATTTTCAATAGCTATGTCAAATTACCAGAGGGTATGTGATTTTTAACTACCAGACATGGCGATTCGATTATATAAAGATGTTATAATTAGGTTTAATCAGTAGAAATGGTTGTTTTCAACCGCCACAAAATTTGGGTTGTAATGATCGGCAGCCTTTGGGATCTGATCACGATTTGATCAACAAAGATTTGGGATTCAAAGGGGGATTGTACCAACAGCCATAGGATCCATGTATGGTATATATGCTAAAATTTGGAGTATATTGATGGTAAATGTTGCCATATATAGCATACATGGATCCTATGGGACATTGTACCAACAACCATTGAGGTTTAACCAACATGTCATGGGGATATAAAAATGATTAAACATGAGCATAGCTGAAAAGAAACATGGTGGTACCAATGGAGTTGCAAAAATCCATGGCAATTGGGTGGTTGGTCCGTTTTCAGACAGAGCTACCTTCTAGTATTTTAACCTGGCTACAGTGGAAAATCACCATGTTTGACAAATCATCAAACTAAGTGGGCCATTTCCCATACATACTTAAATCATGTTAAATAGTACTATTCTTATCCCAGTATTAAACCAATTTGATAAAATTTAAACCATATAAAGCCAATTAAAACTAAAACCATATTAAACTACCATTAAACCTCCATTTTCCCATGATAATTTTTCCGGAGGCTCCAGCGCCAGGCTCTTGGCTCTCAGATGCGTGACCGCCAATGGGATGATGCAACGATGCCATGAACCAATTGGAATTGGGCGGTGCAGTTTTCTGCGCAGATCATCCCAGGCGGTTTCTCAAGTTTTCTCAACCGTAGTCCTTCGTGGTTTCGAGAAGTGGACCGATTTCTGCCGTCAGAGTGGAGCAGTTGGTTTGGGGCCGGCCCTGGGAAAGGGTGCTGGATGGGTAGTTGGGGTCTTCATTCGAACCATAGATGGGGATGTGAAACATTCTTCTAACCAGCCCCCGAACTTCTTCTGCAAAATAAGGTGTGGTGTATCATGGGGTTTGCTGGGCGTATTCAGTTTGACCCATTGTAACAAGGGCACGTTGTACCTGTGAAATGGTCGTCATCCCAGATAGTTTCTAAGTAAGTAATAGTGAGTACTCATCAGGTACCCGTGTTTGATCAGTATTGTACAGTAATTATACAGTGTGAACGGATTTGTCAGCCATGTGCCATGTCTCTTGTGTGCGTGTTTGGGCACCCCTATTCTACCTGAGGCGCTGTATGAATCCTCTTTCAGATACTCTTTCTGAATAGCTCGAACATGTTCTAAGAAAAGCTATAGAGAAATAGACAAAGCTATTTGATTGTCAACACCATGTCAACACTACAGTGTAATCAAGCTTTCGCCAATGTTTTTTCAGAGCGCAGCCGGAAGAAACCACGAAACCATGCGCTGGAGACGGCACTTTGCGTGGGGCAGCCGTCCTTTGGAGACTTCGCAGAAGGGCCCAATTATATGTGTATTGAAAACCCGCAGGGCCACACAGAAGTGGCAAATGGCAAGTGGCCAAAGCCCTGTTGGTTGATGATCATATTCCATGAGCTGAGGATCCCAATGAATTGACAGAGAGTTTTGAACACTGCTCAGTGGGTGGTTTTCCCGGGGTGACTGCATGGCCAAAGAATAGAAACATGAGGACCCCTCTCTTGACAGATGGCATGACAAGTAGCGAATCTTAGTTGGAGTGTTTTTCCATTTTCCACCAAGACATCACAACCCCTATGATCCCAATTCTTCTAGGGAAGCTACTGAAACCCCAAAACGGAAGCTCCCTCAGGTATTTGAATCGGGGAGCATACATCAAGTTTGGGTGCTCACCCATCATGATGGCAATGAAACAGGATGGGGTCTGGATCCAACCTCCTGAAACCATTCCACATGTGCTGTGCTTTTCGGAGGCTGGTACTTTCAACGTGGGCAACTGAAAAATGTATTAAACATGTGCTGGTTGGTTGTTTCAAGCAATAAGCAATAAGCACCAATGTTGGGATATCCCCGGCAAGAAGCCGGGCATAGATGTGCTGGTTCGTTATTTCAAAACTGGTATGTTTTTTCTTGAACGATTTGCTTTCCATCCCATTTTGGGATGCTAAATGACCCGTGTTCTGTGAAGAGGTTGGGAACCACCCAGCCAGCACCTTGTGATACACAAGCCAGTGCCTTGGTCTTTTTTTCTTGGATGTTTTTAACGTTTTTTTTCTCATCAAATGGTGAACTTTAAGATTCTAAATGCTTCTCAGGAATCACCTGAAAATGGGTCATGTCCCAGCCCGAAAATCCGAAGCCCTTCTCGAGACCGTGATGATCTAGGGATTCGGTGGCCCTCGGTTGCCCTACTGCCGACAGCTATGCCACCAGTGCAACCACGCTTTGTGTGAAGATCAAACAGTGACAGTTGATGGGCGGGGCACACACCTGGTGAATGGGATGAAAAAAATAAAAGTGGATAGTTTGAAATGTTTTAATTAATAATCAAAATATGTATAATTCAGTGAATGTATATATACACATAAGAGGGGATACCTGACATTTGTCAAGAGACAAGACGTGGGGATATCAGCAACAATAATTCTGAATACCTGTCGAAGCAGACTGGTTGGCCAGTTGGTAAGCAGTAGTGTCAGTTTCTTGTCATTTGATTGTTAGACGCAATGATTATGATCTTAGATGATGTTAGATGATCTTAGATGATGTTAGAAGGGTTCATAAACCAACAATCCATGCAACTAAAATATACTTGAAGTATATTTATTACTGTAAACCATACAAAGGTATACTAAAGTACTATAAGTTAAGATTTATGAACCCATCTCCCCGAAAGGGGCCCTGGGCCGTACACCCTCTGTCCCGCAGGTCACATCCTTTGGCGCCGCGGTGCCTCTTGTGGTGAGCGCGAGTCCACGCGGCGGCCGCGGCGTTTTTGCCGGCGCGGCGATAGCGGAGGGGCAGGAGGTGGAAGTCTGTCGCTGGGACATAGACTTAAACAGTGGGAGGATATCAGATTGTACATAGTATGTATATGTATACATGTATTTATATAATATATATATATATATATGTGTGTGTGTGTGCACCTTACAGCTCCAAACAACTTCTGAGACTAGACTTAGAGTTGATTGTTTGGATCCAAAGACCTTCTCGGATTATGGTATTTGGAGCACGAGGGATATATACTTAGATGGGCCACGGAATTAGATAACTATATATTTAGTAAATAGATCATAAGTGGGATATAGAGGTCTACAACTCAGTTACTTTAAGTACAACAATTATACACATATATCATCATATCATCATATTACAAGCAAATCTTAGCACTCACAATCACTAGCAAGTAGAAACACACACACATATATATATATATATAGTATGTATATATATATATGTATATATATATATATGTATATACATATAGAGAGAGAGAGAGTTGACTAGTAGCATATATAATCAGCCCTATAACATACATATATGCATATATACATAGCAGCTCTTATACCATTTGTCCATTAGCTTCGCTTATCAGTTCATATAGCCTACGTGTATACACATGTGTAGCTAAACAGAGCGGGAAGCCATTGGTTTGCAATCTGTGCATATATATATATACTGTATATATAAAACCATTAGACGATAGATCATCCCACATAGAGGTATACCCAATAATAAACCCAAATTTGGGATGGTCAATTCTTTGTTTGACCGCATTACAACCTTTTTTAATTTATATCGGATGGGTGGTTGATGATTTTGGTCAGTGTTTTTTTTTGGGTCCCTGACCAAACAGTTAATGATGTTTCATATGATGCCCGCTTAAAACTTGAACCCCTAATGATACCCAGGTTGCACAAACAAGTACATTTGTACACATAAATATTTCAGCAAAACAGCATCAAACACAATAAACAAAGGACAACGTCACAAACACTGGCTGGTGAGGGGAGTGCATTCCAAACTTGCGTTATTGCAGCTTTGCATGATTGTTTCTGTTCTCAGTATGTTCTTATCACTTATCATGTGTGGAACACGTGTCTTAATGTGGCATAGCATATGTTTTAAGCTCAATAGTGGTTTCAAGTTGGGTATACTAACCTCAATGTAGAGGATTTCAACATCAATATGCATCTATGTGGCATTTCATTTCTGTCACGTTGCTTTGCTGAATGTGGCTTCGGCGAATCGCTCAACAGGGCACTTAGGTCCAGTGCTGGCTCTGCAGCGCGACCACATCGCGGCGGAGTGCGCGGCCATGCGGTACTTCTTTGGTGGGGCCGCCTAGGGCAGCCATGTTGTGCTAAGGTTGGGAGTGTCCTCAGGGGTTGGTAAATGTCCTAATTAAACATCACCCAACTATTGAGGATATAATCTCCCAGACACTTAAAGATAGTTTATGTTCAAAATACCCCAAAAAGGGCATTTACCAACATCTGTTCCTGCTGACTACTTGGCTTTCTATTTGGGATTAATATGGATTGACGATGATTTTACATCTTTGTATGCAACTTATATTGCTACAAACCTGGCACATGTCAAGACACCACTGTAATTCATGCAAGATGCAGGTAGGTTTCATCACACCATTTGACCTGCTGTGTATAGTTTGAATGGTCAACATCCAACTATGGCAAATGCTGGTAAGTATCTTAAATATTATATATATATGGTTTTCCACCTGCTGCGCGCTAATCTCCATTGACAGGAACTACTTGTGAATGCTGATGCGTGGCAGCCACAGGGGCTCAAATTACTGCCGGGTTCCGTGCCACACGAATTTTCTTCAAGAAGAATGGCCGAGAAGTTCAGGATCCGAAAGCGCGCTGGTTCCTGACCCCTTGGGCCATAAAAGGGTGGATGATGAGGTTTATTTCTCATGCATCGTTGAGATTCGTTGAACAATAACAAGTACTTGAATTACTGGTCTTAGCTTTTTTAGGGGATCATTTTGTGGTAGGAGCAAGATCGGCAACAGCTACGCCAAGAAGGACATTGAAGATTGGCAACCCAGGCGCGGCCGACCTATGGCAGAACCGTATGACCATAAACCATCCAGAATAATCCATAATTTGGGTTTATTAAGTTTTTTGATTGGGTTTGTCACATTATGGTGACATGTTCAGAGCCTCGGTGCCAATTTTCCTTCTGAATCAGGGCAGAGAAATGGATGCGACGATCTTAGGCCTTTTTTTTCGATATTAGGCATAGCCGGATAGAACGTCAAACGCCATGGAAAAACTCGATCAAAATGGTGGATTCCCATGGCCATGGCCTCCATGGCCTCCATGGCCTCCATGGCCTCCATGGCTCGATGCAAGGCTCAAGGCGGAGCTGGGCGATCTGAAACGCGTTTCGGCCAACCGCCAGTGCTTTGACTGCGGTGCCGCCGATGTGACCTGGGCGTCGCCGAAGCTGGGGACCTTCCTATGCGCCCCGCGGTTGAGTTTGAGATTCCCGGTGGGGGGATAAAATGCCAAGTTGGATGGGGAAGACATGGGAAAATGAGTCATTTATGGGGGGAAATGGCACATTTGAGATTAAGGAAATGGATTTGCATTTTTTACAGGGAGAATGGGTGAATATGGCTATGTCAGAGGGAAACTTGAGAACTTTTGATGAGAAACTTGATGGGGAGGATGCCTCGTTTGATGAGAGAAGATGGACAGTTGTGGGGAAAATGACCTCGTTTATTGAAGGATTTGAAATGGTAACCTTAACAGGAAAATGATTAGATGATCAGGGATATATATATATGTGTATATATATATATCAACAGTAAAATGTGTATCGTATTATGGCAGATGGCGAGATATTTTTGGGAACTCCATTCTCGGACAAACAACTACAATGTGGTAAACTCAACAAATCTGGCCTTTGTTTGGGGATTGCGTGTTTGTTTAACATATGCATCAATGGCCAAATTGGTTTACTGGGGTATGGATTGCTATTGTTGTGTTTACTACGTTGCCAAACCTGTTCGAGCATCATGCGCATACAGATGGATAGTTTGATGAAGATACAAAAAGATGGTTGGATATCTCGATCAATAGATACATAGATGGACGCATGGAGAGAGGGACAGATACATAGATGAGTGGACAGATAGATAGATAGATCGATGGATAGATAGATAGACAGATAGATAGATAGATAGATCGATTGATAGATAGATAGATATATATATATATATAGATAGATAATTAGATAGATGGATAGATAGATAGATGGATAGATAGATAGATAGATAAATTGCTAAATTGATAACTAGATATAAATTGATATAAATTGATAGAATTCGTAAACTTGCTGATGAATTTCCCGTCGTCATTAAGACCCAAATGATCCTCTTTTGGCAGAAGGTTACACGGTGCAGGCCCCATTTAGTTGTTTGCCCTGTTTTCTTGAAGTCAAAGCCTCCATTCACCATTGCAGGCTATCTAAGCTCGTCTATGATGTTTACTATCCTCCAAAACCCTCTAAATGTATCTCTTCTCCTCCAAAATAGATTTGGACGGCTTTTAGTGATAACCACCATCACTCATGTTGTCCACATAACCCTTTTCAATGGATTGGTTTAAGTTGTAACCTACAGAAACCGTTCATTTTCCCATGACATATGGGATTTATTGTATTTTTTCTCCTGAAACAAATCCATTGACTTAAAATCTTTTAAAATAAGTACCACCATAATTATTGTGGTAGCCATGGATAACCGCTCCCAGGTCACTTGCTCGGACATTCACCGTGCGGCTGGTGCGCACATCACTTGCGTGAAGCAGCGTGGCGTGAAGCAGCATTTTTAAGGGATGGAAGGGGCCCAGTACCAAAAAGTTCTCATTCTGTGTGAATCGCTCTTGATGCCAAATCAGTTGCTCTGAGCATTGGGTGAATTCAATTATATTTCTCTATAGTTCTATTAATCGGAACTTCGGATCCATTTTCATGTTTTAGGTATAGTTGCATTTAGGCCCCCACTCCCCCCAAGCAAAAAACAAGACATGAACATGCCTGATGGATATACAATTGACAATTCAAGCCTTATGCAAAGAATCTCCCAATCCATTCTTGGTTTGCCAGACGTGTATCTATCTCAAGAGCAAGAAATGCGTAAAATCAAAGTCAGGAGCTTTCATAGTGTTTTCAAGTTGCTGGAAATGGCCATACTCAGTGGCAACATGTGGCAACACAATTTCCATGACCCTCTCTTTTTGGGTCATTCTTTCTTGCGTGTTCCATTTCAAGGAAAGGTGGCATCCTATTTCATCAGGACTTAGCCTTCCCAATGCCATAAATAAATTCATGGCCTCATCCCTGGGCATTCGACATGTGGGGCCCATGTATTCCAGGCTCACTTTGTGAAATTCCCACATGTCAATGGATTGGTTTGAGGGAGATTTTACGAGAAACCCCCAATGGCCCGCCTTGTTTTCATGTGATGTTTTCCACAGTTTCCTGCAGATTTTCTCTTAAACAAACCCGTTGAACATGTTGAATGTGTGAGATGTTATCCAGGCAACCCATCTGAAATCAGCAACCCATCTGAAGGTCGTCCACCACAGGTGAAATCAGACCTGAGGAATTTCAGCACCTACCTGTGGTCACCCGATGAAGTGGAAATGATGCGCGCCGTTGGAAATCGACGTGCGAAGGAGCTGACGGAAGGTAGGGAAGATGGACACTTAAAGCAGGAGGTCTTTCAGTTCACTATTAGACCTGGCAACAAGAGAACTGAAGCAGTGATTGTTTTTGACTACCGTATTGTTCTGGGCTTATGTTATTTGATTTCCCGAAGGCTCACAATGAATTTGGTGCCTACAAGGTCTCATAATGTCTCATATATATCAGATGATGCCTACAGAAAATAGCGGGTCACATAGAAAGACGGGTTGCCACATGACTACCTTTTTGCGGTGATTTCAGTTGGACCTGAGCATTGCCACCTCAATAGGCCAGCGTCACCTGTTGAGGCCAGCATGATGAGCAGTGTTGGAATAGTTTGTGGAATAGATATGCGGCAGGTTGCACAGCTTCGCACACGTTTTGTGTTGGTGGCTCGTGATGCTCGAACGAGTCATCGTTATCAATGACCGACCTCACCTCGCAGTGATTATGGGCACTGTTTTCGGCCCACTTCTATCCGTTCGCTTGCCCGAAGGTAACAGTCTGCCAAGTGGAAAATCACCATGTTCAAACAGTATATTATCGAACTAAATGGGGCATGTTTCATAACAAACTCTAAAATTACATTAAATTATCAGAGGGCAAAAGTTGGTTTATAACCCCAATGGCACATTCCTGAAGAAATATTGTGAAAATGCAAACTCATTTCAGCAAAACCAGCAAACAAATGACACCACACAAGCACGATGAATACAACATGACAGAAACATGACAGAAACATGACAAAACAAATGACTGAAAAATGACAGGTAGGATTTAGGAATGACAAACAAATGACAAGGCAAATGACAGAAAAATGACAGAACAATGACAGAACAATGACAGAACAATGACAGAACAATGACAGGTAGGATTCAGGAATTACAACAAAAATGACAAGGCCAAATGAAAGAAAACATACAAAATAATTATTCCAGGATTCTTAGCCTGTGGCTGCCCAAGTTCTTCCTAACACTATATCTAGTTTGTTATCTCTGCCGTGCCATAAAACCATACTCAATTCACCTAGTGAAGTGTTCACCAACTTAGCTATGGTTCCGGGGCCACAACTGACATTCATCTTTGCCTGAATGTGTGATGGGCTGTCATTGTGCAATTTCCCTCTACAAAAGCCATATGAACATGTTGCGGGCTATGAATGCCAACCGAGGATTTGTTTCATGCCCTAGCCTTTCTTTTGCCTCAGGAAAATCGGTATCCTATGTTTTCTAACTGAACACTGCAATTTTCCAGCCAACCAGAAGATTCCTGGAGGGTAGTATCCTGAAGATGTTCGTGTTAAATCAGTCTTTTTTGCTGCTCATCATTCTCGTACAATTTTGGTGGGTCAAAAATAGAAAAAACATATTTCTTGCTGCCAAAAATATATTCTCTACCCATTCCTGCTGGGAGGATAACCCAAGGAATCCCTTTCAACGGGTTGGTTCAAGGGAAACCTACAGAAAAACATATTGTTTTTACATATGTTCACCAGCAATTATAGGGGGTCCCCATGGTTTCCTGCAGATATTCATTGAAAAAGTCAACAGCGCATCTCTTCTCCCCTGGGCAAAACCCAGGAGCTTTATCGGCGAGGTGCCTCATTGTCTTGGCAGCCGCAGGACTCAAAGGAGCGCAAGGTGGGGATGAGTTGGAACCTCCATGGCGTTTACAATGGGAAATGGTGCGGATGTATGGTGGATGTACCAGTAAGGTGATTTTTTGATGTTTTTTTTTGGGGGGGGAAGGTTTACCAATATTGGGGAATACAATGGGATGTAATTTGATGATATTGGGATACATGGAGAAAAACACATCAAAACTAGTGGTAGAATGGGGTTACCTCAGGGTGATCGAATTGACATGGATAAGTTCCGCGGGCTTATCATCATCTTCCAGAATACAATGCCAATTTTAATATTGAGATTATATATAAATATTATCCCTAATCATATGATATCATATGATCAGTTTCCCCATAGACATCAATGAAACTCCCAAAAGCCTGGGAAGTTGACAATCCCACAAGGTGTCCCTCCAGTCTTCATGGCGGTTACAAACCAATTACATAAACACAATTGAGTATGGTTTCTTTTTGATATTTACCACACTAAGGAATAAACCAACCTTTGGACCCTTTGGATCCCTTTGGTAATTTGTTGGTTAGTTTTGTATATGGAACATGGGCCAATGTAGTTCCATGATGTGCCTGTTGGGTTGGTTTGTCTTTGGGCTGCGCGGCTGAAGTGTACGGTGGACAAACAAATCAGACACTGAACGCGGAGGAAGCTATTATATACAATCTGTTCAACATTGACATTGTTGATGTTGGGTTTTACTTGTTAGATTTCTGTAGGGTTTGATTTTTTGTAAGAATGGAAACCGCGAGAAAAAGCTTCGGAGAACTGTTCTTCTTCTTGGTGTTCCTCTTGATGTTTTTTTCTTCTTCTTCTTCTTCTTCTTCCTATTTCTTGCTTTTCGGGGGTTGTGTTCCTCTTCTTTTCCTCTCCCCCGAAAATAGGCATCGCTTTATATTGACTCTGGTTACATGGTGTAGCAGCAGGGAGAATGACATGGGATGTCTCCAGCTTATATGGTTCATTGCATATCATGCACTATGTATCACAGTGAACATCTAAGTCGGTACTGAGCACCTCCCAAAAAGATAGAAACTTAAAACCCTATATATATATATATTATCATTGTGTATATATATATAGTGTGTACTGTTGTATACGAGTGGTTATGTGCGATATCAGAATGCAAGGAGATTGGTGCCCCAATCTTCCAGGTGAAGCTGTGCACTGAGCTCTACGGATCCGAGGTGCAGAGACTTCAGATGGGCCCCACTCCAACTAGTAGGGGGGTGATCCAGCCAAAATGGGTTTCCAATGGTAGGCCTCCGAAAAAACATCTGTCAATTTTCCAGACGCCTAAAAAAAAGGCCCTTTGAAAAAACATGGAACGTCTGTGACATTTCGAAGCCTAGATGTTGTTGTTTCGATGATTTTTCTCATTGGTGGGTTTGTTTTGCGGTAGGTCCGGGCAGTTACGCTGTTTTTTATTGGGTGAATCGAGTCAGCCTCTGATTTTTTAAAGATTGGTTTATCTAATTACTGTAACCCGGGTTTGCTGAAGATGATTGTTTATTTTCCCGACAGATAATCCACTATTTGGGAAAACTAGAGGGAATATTCGGAATATCTTTCAATTTTGGGGGCTCCTTAAGCAAATCCAAGATTATTTGGGGGCAAAATCAATCGGAACCCTTAAATTTATTGAACATTATCCAGGCAATAAGCAAGGCATCCCACTTAAAAATTATGTTTTGATTCTCGGACTTGACTAGTCAAAAATTGACGCGCCCACTTGCACATCAGCTGGAGGGAAGACAAGCGAGTTAGGTCGGTCGTGTTTGGTGATATCCCTATTTGTTCACTCTATACCTACAAAATTATTTGTTACGTCTTTAGGATGGATGCTGCTATATTCCCATGTTTTCATGTTCCAAAGCAATACAGTAGTCCATTGAATTTAAGGATCCATAGTCCATGTGAAAAAGAGCACCTTAAACTGCCTTAAACCATTGAACACGTGACGACCCATCAACCAAGAATGGCCAACTGGTGGTTTGGGGCCCGTTGGTTTGCAATCGCCGGATTTGTCGATCGGAATTCTCACCATGGCCCTATGTTCTTCCCTTCATACACATATTTCAAACATGTTTTATGTAAATCTACCAGTTGATGGTGCCACTAGTCCCATTACATTCCAATATCCATCCCGATAAACTTGGTAGTTTTAATATATCCTCCCCATTTTTTGTTGATTTTCCTCCGGTAATCAAACATTGTTATTTTCATGGAACATCTCCCATTTTCCCATTTCGGACCCTCCATCTTTGGCTGGGATTGGGAACCAGCGGCTGGGATGGACTCAGTCCGTGAATCCAAGAATCAATGAATAGTCCATGATCAAACTATTATGAATGTTAGATTATGCATGTTATGAACCAATCAATGTCAATCATATATTATCAACAAATGTTGGATGATGTTATCTTTTTTTTTTGGCTGTATATTATCCCAGGATTGTCCCATTCTTGGCCCATTATTCTCCCTGTGAAGCCACATAAAGCCACATAAAGCACCATATATCATCATTAAAGTCCCATCCCTGTTGATGATTAAATCCCACGAAATCACCGTTTTTAACAACCATCTAAAACCATTCAAGTCCATTCAATTTTTCAGCCCATTAAAATTAAAACCTCCAAAATTATAGTCGATCTCCCACATGAAACACTTCAATCACCGCAGATTTCGCCATGTAAAACCTGTGCCCACAGGCAGTCCAGCGCGCCGTCCAGCAGAACATCGCCGCGGCGACCGCCAGCGGATCCAGCGGATCCAGCGGCGCAGCGGCGGCGGCGTCAGCAGCTGCGGGCTACGTGGCGGGTGCGGATGCGGCGCCGGTACGGAAAACTCAGGAGATGGGAATCGAGATGGGAATTGGAGATGTAGGGAGTTTTTATGAGTTTTTTAGGGATAGGAATTGAGAATATAGAGAGATATAGAGAGGTTTGTTTTTTTGATGACAATTGGATACGCTTTCGGGCAATTTTTTGAAGATTTATGGGAATAGTAATGGGATAGTAAGGGGATGATCCACGGCCTCTGCTGGTATGGCCCCAGGTCAGGAATCATCTGGGATGGCATGGCTTTGTTTCAACTGGTGGTGTCAAGCCCACCCCGAGATGGGCTTTAACCAACATCAAATATATCATACTGGTGATTTAATGGTATTGATGGGATTATACCACCATTATATATGGCTAGTATCACCATCATTGGTGTATGGCTGGTTCTGGATGCAGGCCTTTTTTTCATGTGGAATAATGTATGAATTGACTATCGGAAGGAGTCCTGGTTTTTGCGAGTATATGTGCAGTATCAGATGGCTAATGGCAAATGTCAACCCCGGATTATAGACCCTCCGGTAATCAAACGTGGCAATGGAAATCCACTATTTATAGATGATTTTCCCAGCTATAAACCTCCATTTAGAGGGGTTTGCCAGCCACGTTTGATTACCGGAGGGTAACGAGTATTAAATTTGATTGAACAAATATACAAATAATGCTTTGTTTGATTCTGCGGGATCGCCCTGCAAAAGCGATAGGTGGATACTGAAATCGAACCGCAATTGAGCACCCCAGGGTTGACATGCCCACTGGGTGAGGTTTCAAATCATTCTATTTCAATTTCCTGGTGCCAGATGTTGGTTCTTGGCCTTTAGTACCCACGTTTTTGGTACCAAATTTTGACCCATGCCCATGTAGGAATTAAGTGGATGGGTCCAGTGCCCGCAGCTCGCAGGAGGGCCCCAACTGGTTGGATGACTGGACGGTGCCAACGGTACCGTTGCCGGTGCCCACGGTGCCCGTCACCGGCGATCTCTTGGACTGGTCGACTCGGTCGACACCGAAGCCATCGCCAGTTGTGCAGCATGGCGATCGGCAACTGGGCAGCGGTGTCATGAAACATGACTGGGAAATCCCCTATAACAATCGTCTATAATATGTGTATACATATATATATATATATATAACATACATATATATATATACAAATCTGTGTGTTTATAGCTGGGAAAATCATCAACTTCAACGGTGGATTTTCCAGCAAACCACCTTTGATTTACCGGAAAGTCATATCCGAAAGGGGCGTGGCACGAGGTCACCACGCAAGGCAATGGGGAAAAAAACATACTGGTTGGAGAGTAAGAAGCCAGATACCCTCTGGTGAACATACAAAAAGCTGTTGAAAATGGCCATTTATAGTGGATTTTTCCATTCGACATGGTGATTTTCCATAGTTATGTTAGTTTATCAGAGGGTATCTCGGAGTTTTTTTTTGGTGAAGCCACTTCTTTGTTGTTACTCTTGATTTGGGGATGATCAACAAAAGTTCCCTCAAACTGACTCCACATAGAAGAGTTGTCCTTTGGAACTGGCTTTGATCCACCAGAATTGGTTCTGGCTGGCAGCTATAGGCAACCTATGGTGGCGCCAGCGAGTAAACCAGTGGATGACCTGCTAGACATCTTCGGCGATGCCCCGCTAGCGCCGGGTCCAGTGCCCAGCTGCGGCATGCAGGCGGAGCGTGAAAAGGACTTCTGGGACTCCGTCACTTGGAAGCACGAAACGTTCGTCTTTTTGTTGTCCCAAGAACTATAGTTACATCCCACATAAACCTAGTTAGTTAGGCAACTTTTAAGTCGACTTAGCTATCTAGGGTGCCTCAGCTTGTACGTGTATTTTGGAAGATCTCCATGTGTATACTTAGATCATTTCCTTGGGAAGCCATGGGTTGTCCATATCTATGTTTATTTTCCCCAGCGTAGCTGTTTTGAATGACTGGAGGCCTGTTTGGGATCATAATCCCAAGCAGTTTTCTCCATTTCTGAGAGTATCATTGGGTCTGGCTGTGTTGGTCCATGGTTTTGGGGCATCAATGTTTCGCAACATCCTCCGAATGGTCCCACCACGAATTAGCAAACCTCGGTTTATTATGTAGGTGGTTCACCAAAAGAGTGATAATTGTCTACTACAATACCTTGATCCCAGCCCAGTTAAACAGCCATAAGCAGCCTAGAAAAAACCGCCGAGAGAATTGTAGAGAATCCAACGGCCGCCAGGGCCAGGGCTTATCGTGTTTCGTCCCGGCTTGGATCGAGGTGAATTGGGATGAACTTCTTGGCTAAGAATGGAACCAATGGAACCCGAAAACCCCAACCGAGTCCCTGGCCCTATCTGGTTCAGGCTGCAATCTGTACAGGAACTTCAGCCGACCTTCGCCGGAAAAGGATGAAAAAGGGGGGCGGATCCGTGATGGGCGCTGTGTTTTTGGTTGGGTGAAGAAACATAGTAATGTTTTTCCCAGCTATAAACCTTCATTTACATGGGATTTTCCATTGCCATGTTTGATTACCGGAGGGTATGTTGACTTCAATTGTGGAGCTTGAAGGTTGGCAGGGCATGTTTTTTTTTTGACCAAAGGGTTTCCAGACTCATATGGAACTCGAAAGAAGCCAGTTGAGCAGGCTGAATGACAGTCCATGTGGTCAACGGCTGTGATGCAGAAGGCATGACGATGCCAGAGGAATCAAGTTTTGGTGACATGGGGTGTCCTAGATCTTCGACTATGTTCGGCCGGTTTTGGCTTCCAGTCCGTAGGCGCCCACAAAATTGACATCAATATGACATGACATCATCATTCATCTCAAAGAGCACGAGTCGATTTGCGAAGAGTTTCTATTCACCCAACCTATCAGCCATTTTCCGCCTAGGGGTCACTTCATCACTTCATCATAAACGAAACTGACACCGTACTGGTTGGGCAGAGGGCACCAAAGGATCGCTTGGGGCGCGGGTGATGCGCGTGGCCTGATGCTGCTGTACTACAACAAGAGCTTCTTTTGGCTGTTGGTGGAGCGGCGTGGGAGCGTTTTCTACCGACCCTTGGCGGGAAGATGCGGGGAGGGCGCGAACGGCAGGGCGGAAAATTGTGGAATTTCACAGATGTTCTGAGGTTTTGTTTTGGGGTTCAGAAAACCGCTGGTGTGGTTCATGACGAACGTTAAATTTCTCAAGCGTGTCACTGCTTGCTACAGTCATCAATTGCTGCTTATGACCTTGATGGAGCAGTTTGGACATGGAAATCATAAGAAATCATGAAGATGTAACCCTGGTGCTCCAAATGCCATCTGAGAAAGTATTTGATGATATTTGATGTGTTTGGACATATTTGGACCCCAAAAATCAACTCCAAAAGTCGAAGGATGTCGAAGGTGTCTGGAGCTGTAAAATCATGAACTTCTGGAGGGATTCTAAGATGTCTACGCCAAGCGAACAAGCGAAGCCCAACGCTCTTCACGCCCAGTGTGGAGCCCAGCGATGAGTTGTGACCGAAAAATCAGAATTTCCCTTGACCCCAGGACCCCCAGGACATCAGACGGTACATACGCCTCAAGTTGGAAACGTAACTATATGATCTAGAATCTAGAGTTGAATTACGGTGTGTATATATATATTACATTATATTACAGTTTATAATTCTAAACTGTATTAAACATATTAAAACATTTTAACAATCTAAACATGTAGTGTCTTACAAGAATACAAATCACTGAACCAGACTTCATATTGTAAGGATAAATTGTCGAAACAATCAGTTACACTACCTCTGTTTGGTCACAGTTCTGGAACACTATCATCCTCTTGTTGCATAACAGTTGAATCCCATGCGGTCCTATCATAATGCTATCATAATCTATCATTATATAATATTTTGTCATGTGTAGATTAGCCAAAGATCCATCAATGGTCAGCTTTTAGCCATAAAACAATAATAATCAATGATATTATGTCCACAATTATCCATCATACATCAATTGATATCTGGAGAATCCATAATTCTCCATCATAAGCTAAAAACATGGGGATAATCATAACAATTAGCCAATGATTATCCAATATCCCCATGTTTTTGTTGTTCCCTTCATGGCTTGGCCCAGGATGTGATTCGCTGCTTGGGGGCATCCTGGTGGCAGGCCTTGGGGTACTGGTCCAATGGTGGCACCTCGGACGGAAGCGATTTTTTGAGGCGACGTCCCGCTTTTGCGGAGGACCATTTTACCATCAGAAATGCTAGGTATAAACCATGAAAACATATGAAAACATATGGTCCATGAACTATGAACCATCAAACATATGGACCATATGGATGACCAGAACCACCAGAAATTTTCGGAGTTGACATGATTGAACATGATACAAAATCATCAACGGTTAGTTTGGTTTGAAGCCGCTTAGTTTACTATGGGGAACAACACGCATCAAAACTCGTGGGAATTTCCCAATACTTTATGGATCATCTTAAAGAATCATCTTTAGTATGGACCATGTTTTTGCTGTATATTGGGATTGGAAAAAACTAACTAATAGTTTGTATAACGGGTACTCGTTGATCTGTCAGTCTGTTAGTAGCCATTTATTTTGGGAATTTTATGTATCCACAACATAAATGGGATATAACTTAGAACCAACAACCTGAATTCCCAAGCCTGGATGATTGGGATAGTTCATGGTGATTGAAACGTCATTTATCTTGTCCGCAGAAGGTTTTGTATGGGTATCTTTTTGACACTGACTGACACTGACCAGGTAGATCATTTAGCAGCGGCTAATCCCATTTGCCTTTTCTTATATATATATATATATTATATCTGTGCGTTTGTGTGTGCACATACCGTATATGTATATGTGTCGTCTACCTAGTGGATTTAAGTGACCAAAGTGGGTATATAACCCCAGCAACAAATGTCAAAACCTTGGTAGTGTAGGTTATAATACAACCTACGCTACCAAGGTTTTGACATTTGTTGCTGGGGTTTGCCAGAAATTATCTGCATTCTGTACCGAAACATGGGCACAGACAGCAACTGTTTGGGAGCTAACTAACAAAATGTTTGGTTTTGACACTATTTAGCATCTTTTTGAGTGCACCATCAAAACGGCGGAGGTAAGGAGCAAATTGAGAAGGTAGGCAGCAAAATTGAGGCTTGAGGTAGCAATATGTGGGGATTGAGCAGCCAAAACATAATTGATGTTAAAGCGGGAACCATTGTGATCTAGCATTTAGCTATCGATAACACAGGTGCTGATCACCCCAGAACGGGGTAAACCGACTGGTGAACGTTGAGTATATAAATTATAGCACATAGGCACATAGGTGTTTTTTTCAGCACAGAATTGTTGGCCATCATCAGCTAGACCAGCTGTTATTCATTGTTGCACAGCCTCTTCTTCGGCCGAGGCTGGACAGCGACTTCGAGATATCCCCCAAAATATTTCACCACTATGGTCTCTTGGATTTGCGGTTGAAACTGTGAAAGGTTAATAGGGTTTGACCTGCCAGCATCTGTGCTGGACATACATATTTATATAATTATTTATTTATTTATTTGTTTTATCTATATATATATAGACATAGATAACACATAGATATAGATATGTACAGCTATATGCAGTCCATACCCCACAGTAAAATGGCCAGTTTAATTAGTGGGAAAAGGATGATTTACTTCACGGTAATCAACGATGTTGCTTGGAAATGCGGTCGCAACCATCATTCAGTAATTTGTCTTGGATCACCATGATCCATGCAAAAATCGATGCTAGATTCAATGTATCATTGGCCACCGCAACTATCATCATCAATCTTCCCCCAAAAAACACACATCATTCAACGTCATCACACATCATTCATTTAACGGACATCATTAAGCACAACTAAACATCACCAAAAGACAATCACGATTGAACACCGTGAATGCCCATTAACGTTGAAACATCCCATACAATCAGTTTATGGTGTTTTCAATCATTTTTGGTTGTTTTTTCATCCACCTATTTGAACATTCAAAAATCCCTTTAAGAAAACCACCAAATTTGAATCAACCAAATCTCCAATTGAACATTAAACGCGTGTTACATCACCATTGGATCCTATTGGATCCCATTTGAATCCTTTTGAATCTGCAGAACCCCATTAAATCATGTGAAAACCCATCAAAAATCACCATGGTTCTCAAATCCGATGAACTCACCATGTTTGGTGAGTAAAAGCCACTCCCAACGGTGAAAAACGGCCCCCCCCAGGCTTCCAAGCCTTGGGTGCCGGCGTGACCTTTTCCATCGTCTTTCGCACCCAATTGGCCTGGAACCGCTACTGGGAGGCGCCTGGAACTTCCCCCCGTGAGATCCATGAAAAATGCCAGGAAATCCATGATGACTGGGTTTTGTTCATGGGATTTTAAGTCAGAACATGTTGGATTCAACCATGAAAATCGGTGGTAAAACACCAAGCAACAAAACATGGGATTTAGTCATCAACAATAAGGTGATACCAACTGGATGGCTAGTACAACTTCATCGTGTGTTTCTCCTCACAACTGCCATGACGAGCCAATCATCACAGACTGTGTTTGCCCAGGACTTTACAAGTGTGTTTCTCAATGCATCAATCAAAGACTAGGACTAAGTACATGTAACATACAGATTCATATGTACATGTGTTACATGTGTATATAATATATATATATATATATATATTTTTGCCTACGGCGCCATTAACGACCCCTGCGTTTTTGGCATCTTTTGCTGATCGGAGACAAGTTGCTCTTGAAATTGATGCATGCACAACTGACGTGACGTCACTGGGTTGGGGTGGGGTGGGGATGTTAACGTTCATGTTAACTTGCGTCACATGCACAACTGACGTCACGTCACTGGGTTGGGGTGGGGTGGGGATGTTAACTTTCATGTTAATTTGCGTCACATGCACAACTGACGTCACGTCACTGGGTTGGGGTGGGGTGGGGATGTTAACGTTCATGTTAACTTGCGTCACATGCACAACTGACGTCACGTCACTGGGTTGGGGTGGGGTGGGGATGTTAACGTTCATGTTAACTTGCGTCACATGCACAACTGACGTCACGTCACTGGGTTGGGGTGGGGTGGGGATGTTAACGTTCATGTTAACTTGCGTCACATGCACAACTGACGTCACGTCACTGGGTTGGGGTGGGGTGGGGATGTTAACGTTCATGTTAACTTGCGTCACATGCACAACTGACGTCACGTCACTGGGTTTGGGGTGGGGATGGGTGGGGATGGGCGTCACATGGACGTCACGATGGGGATGTAACGTCATGTTAACTTGCGTCACATGCACTGACGGTTGGGGTGGGGTGGGGATGTTAACGTTCATGTTAACTTGCGTCACATGCACAACTGACGTCACGTCACTGGGTTGGGGTGGGGTGGGGATGTTAACGTTCATGTTAACTTGCGTCACATGCACAACTGACGTCACGTCACTGGGTTGGGGTGGGGTGGGGATGTTAACGTTCATGTAGCTGGCCAAGAAGAGTCGACGCTGAACAACTTGCAAGGGTGAGTTGAAAAAGAAGTGTTGCTCAATGACTGGTGGTCAGATGTAACTGAATTTCTCCAACAAAAGGAAAAAAAACAATAATTCGTTTCAGGGGTATTGAAAATCGATGAACGTTTCACACGAAACGCACTTTTGGTAGTAGGCCCCAAAGTAACTACGATTTGACGTTTTTATCACGTTTTTACAAAACCTTGCAAATACCATGATTTGGTGAACCAAGCATCATGGAAAATCAATGAGTTACCCCGGGTCGCTAACCGCGCCGTAGCCATATATATATGTATATAGTATATAATGTACACATACACTATCATATTATCAGTAGATATTCTATGGCAAACGATGGGTCCAAATCATCCGTGGGCTTTTTGTCATCAGGCGGTGACCCAGTTGCACTTTATGTACAGCAAATGGGCCGACGCCTTCAGTCAGTTCCAAGCCTTCGCAGAAGTGACCCGCAAAGCCGCCATGGATAAGGGCGATCAGAGCCTCAGCCGAGCGGAGGATGTGTGTTGTTGTTTGGTGGTTATTGTTGGTTACCATTTGCTAAACTAACATAACTATGGAAAATCACCATTTTTAATGGGAAAACCCACTAGCCATTTTCAATAGCTATGTAAACGTTTACCAGAGGGGTACTATGCTTGGGGAGCTAGGACATGTTTTTTTCCAAGCAAGGATGACAGGCATGACACCCATTACTCAACCAGCAAGTTTTTTTTTTAACGGAAATCATAGAATAGTGGGTGCATGTCATTGATTATCATCCACATCATCCACTTACGATCGCCAGTTGAGTAGCCCCATGGCCAGAAGTTCACTGGTGAATTATATGCAATTGATATATGTTGTTTTTTTGTTTTTTCTTTGTATAGTTTGCTGAAACTGTTGGAAATGATTTTCAATAGAACGCGATGTTGATTTTTGCCTGTAGATCCGACTTGATGGGGCGTCCATCTCAAATGCAGGATTATTTGTTGATCTTTTGTGGGGACATTCTGTGATGTTTTGTTCAATTTTCAATATTTCATAGTTTTTTGTGATGTTTTGCACATTGTTTTTTTTTCAGAATGACTAGTTTGGTGATGGTTCCTGACCCAACTTTGAATCTCATCTCAGCGCCGTTTCTCCGTGCCGCTCTCAGGGCCAAAGCGGACCGCATTTTGAGGAAACAAAAGCGCCTCAAGGTACTGATTGGGTGCGGGGAGGCCACAGAGGGCGAGGGAAATGTGGCCATAAACCATCATACCCCATCAACCCCCCTGTGTTAATGGCTGGGTTGTTGATATCCATTAAATGCTCATTAAATGGATTGAAACCGTATAGTATACTTTGTCTAATTTGAGAAAGGGCTATGCGGCTATCTATGGCTGGATCAATATATCATATCGTGTCATATCACATCATGTCATATCATATCATAATATATATATATATATATTATACATATATATATATATATTATATACATATATCCACTGGTTAACCATCAATATTCCCAAAGAAAAAGGCAACGTGGATATTCACAACCATGCAATTGAATCATCGAGGAGCTCAAAACCATGTAAATTGACTACAATCATGAATTGAGTGGCTTATCAGCACTGAACAGCTTTGGGCCATCAGTCGCCCTTTAACCTTTGTGCCAGGTGAACTAAGCTGAGCACAGTAGCAGCTGACCGGCTCACACAGGGAGATAATCAACGCATGGAAGAAGTCCGAGCAAAAGGAGCAACGGGGTAGAAGGTTTATGTTTTCACATGAAACAATTGGTGAGAAAGCTTTAGCTTACATACCGGTAAGATTCTAGATTCTAGATCCTTTGAATATGTGTTTTCAGATCACAAACTCCGTACCTACACCGGCCCAAACCTTCAAATTACATGTTTTCTGCTGGATTTCCCTCCGTTTTTCCCAGTAAACTCTGCTTTTGACTTTGACCATGAATTTCACATGTTGTTTGTTTCAAATCGGCCTGGTGGGCACACATCTTCTAATGATTTCAAATGTGTTTGATCGCTGCCTGCGATGATAACCAGAGAGTGATTCCAAAAAGAAATCAGAAGGGATGATGATATATTTGTTTGCCCTCACATTTTTACAAATGTGGGCTGTTTTTTTTTTTGGGGGGGGGTGTGGTTTTCTGAATGCTTTCAAGCAGTGGTTCTTCGATTCGGTCCCATTCCTTCCTTTGAAGCGATTAAACATGGTAGATACCGCGCAGCCAAAAACAAGAAGGAGGTGATATGAATTGATGACTTACATGTTGGGTTCAATTGTTCAATGTTGTTTTGCCAATCTTTTTCATCACATGGAATGATCAAATTTACCATAGATGTTCCCAGCATTGAATCGCAGTTGGATGTGTTTGGAACCAATGTTGCTCTGCGAGGAGTGCAAACACGAGGAAGCATGAGAATCGACAAGGAGATCATGGGCTGGAACGCTCCCAAGATGTCGGAAAGGAACGTTTTCGACCGCACGCGGAGTCACTTGGCCGTCTTCCAAACGGAGATTGGGCTGGGACATGTTCATGGTTTGCCAAACGGACTGCCCAAAAGCAAGGCAGAACACTTAAGACATCTTAAGACCAATCAACACATTCAACATATTCAATTTTCCAACATATTTAAAGTTTTGACTCATTTTGCTGCCTGTTACCAGCCTGAAGTGTCAATTATATTCAATTATGTCAATTGCCCGGCAGTTCTGCGTGGCCAGCTCCACTCGTGGCGCTGTAAAAAAATGGCAAGGTTGGAATACTGTTTTTTTTGGTGGCTCAGGTGGTGACTGATAGTGCATGGTTGATTGTTGGGGCATGTTGGGATAAACACCATTTGAACACCATATAAATCAACACCATACCAACACCAGCATATTAAACACAAAAAACACCATATAAGATCATATAAGCACCAGTTCATCACCATATCTAAACACCATATCTAAACGGTCCCATCGTTTTTGGGTCGAGGCAACGACGACGATCACGAGTACGTGGTCTTCCAAAAGCCCTCGGAGCAACAGATCCAGCTGTTAGCGCAGTCCAACGACACGATCTCCAGCGTGCCAGGGCGGCGGCTAAGGATCATCCCATGATATCCCATGGTAAACCGATGTTAATATGGTGATGCTATGGTGATAATAGGATGTTATGGGATTTCATGGTGATGTTATGGGATTTCATGGGGGTTCATGGTGATGTTATGGGATTTCATGGGGTTTCATGGTGATGTTATGGTGATGTTATGGGGTTTCATGGTGATGTTATGGGATTTATGGGATTTCATGGTGATGGTGATGTTATGGGATTTCATGGTGATGTTATGGTGATGTTATGGGATTTCATGGTGATGTTATGGTGATGTTATGGGATTTCATGGTGATGTAATGGGATTTTATGGGGTTTCATGGTGATGTTATGGGATTTCATGGGATTTCATGGTGATGTAATGGGATTTTATGGGATTTCATGGTGATGTAATGGGATTTCATGGGATTTCATGGTGATGTAATGGGATTTCATGGGATTTCATGGTGATGTAATGGGATTTTATGGGGTTTCATGGTGATGTAATGGGATTTCATGGGATTTCATGGTGATGTAATGGGTTTCATGGTGATGTTATGGGATTTCATGGGATTTCATGGTGATGTAATGGGATTTTATGGGGTTTCATGGTGATGTTATGGGATTTCATGGTGATGTAATGGGATTTTATGCGGTTTCATGGTGATGTTATGGGATTTCATGGGGTTTCATGGTGATGTTATGGGATTTTATGGGGTTTCATGGTGATGTTATGGGATTTCATGGGATTTCATGGGTGATGGGATTTCATGGGATGGGATTTCATGGGATTTTATTTCATGGTGATGTAATGGGATTTCATGGGATTTCATGGTGATGTAATGGGATTTTATGGGGTTTCATGGTGATGTTATGGGATTTCATGGGATTTCATGGTGATGGGGTTTCATGGTGATGTTATGGGATTTCATGGGATTTCATGGTGATGTTATGGGATTTCATGGGATTTCATGGTGATGTGATGTTATGGGATTTCATGGGATTTCATGGTGATGTAATGGGATTTTATGGGGTTTCATGGTGATGTTATGGGATTTCATGGTGATGTTATGGGATTTCATGGTGATGTTATGGGATTTCATGGGATTTCATGGTGATGTTATGGGATTTCATGGGATTTCATGGTGATGTAATGGGATTTTATGGGGTTTCATGGTGATGTTATGGGATTTCATGGGATTTCATGGTGATGTAATGGGATTTCATGGGATTTCATGGTGATGTTATGGGATTTCATGGGATTTCATGGTGATGTTATGGGATTTCATGGGATTTCATGGTGATGTTATGGGATTTCATGGGATTTCATGGTGATGTTATGGGATTTCATGGGGTTTCATGGTGATGTAATGGGATTTTATGGGGTTTCATGGTGATGTTATGGGATTTCATGGTGATGTAATGGGATTTTATGGGGTTTCATGGTGATGTAATGGGATTTTATGGGGTTTCATGGTGATGTAATGGGATTTCATGGTGATGTTATGGGATTTCATGGGGTTTCATGGTGATGTTATGGGATTTCATGGGATTTCATGGTGATGTAATGGGATTTTATGGGGTTTCATGGTGATGTTATGGGATTTCATGGGATTTCATGGTGGTGATGTAATGGGGGATGGTGATTTATGGGGTTTCATGGGTGTTTCATGTAATGGGATTTCATGGGGTTTCATGGTGATGTTATGGGATTTCATGGGGGTTCATGGTGATGTTATGGGATTTCATGGGGTTTCATGGTGATGTTATGGTGATGTTATGGGGTTTCATGGTGATGTTATGGTGATGTTATGGTGATGTTATGGGATTTCATGGTGATGTTATGGTGATGTTATGGGATTTCATGGTGATGTTATGGTGATGTTATGGGATTTCATGGTGATGTTATGGTGATGTTATGGGATTTCATGGTGATGTTATGGGATTTCATGGGGTTTCATGGTGATGTAATGGTGGTGCAATGGGATTTCATAGGATTTTATGGGGGTTCATGGGGTTTCATGGTCATGTAATGGGATTTCATGGGGTTTCATGATGGTGTAATTAGATTTTATGGGATTTCATGGTTATTATATATATATTTACATATATATATTATATAAATATGGTGATTTTCCTTCTGGTAATCTAACAGTTTTGGTATGGGAAATGATCAGTTGAAGAGGAACATCAACGAACTAAATGGACCATTTTCAATAGCTATGTGAATTACCAGAGGGTAGTATTTACCATGGATACTAAGTACTGTTTTTTTTGGCAAAGGGGGATTGCAATGGAAAGTACTTACCATCCCATAAGTGGGGTTAGTCCATGTATCAGGCCCACTATCCATGGGATAACCATGGATAACCCCATTGGGGACTTATGGTTCCCAGGGTTACGCAAATCAGTGGCTGGTTCAACAAAAAGGGCTCCGATTTATGGCTTGTAGACCCTAATCCTTGTATATCACGGGGCATTAAGAAATCCTTAATTACGAGAATATCAATTGCATGATGTTGCCGCGCTCAAAATCATGCGTAAAAAAGGATATGTTGCGACAGCATATCGGTGGACGATGCATGTGATCAGCTTTCAAGATTTCAATGATTAGCACATATTTTGGTATCATATAGCAACATCTTTAGATATCAAGCATGTTTTCCTGCACTTTTGGCCCCAAAGTTCTATGGTGGCTTCAGTGGCTGACCCACCTGAGATTGCCAAAAGCCTTTGTCATTTCTTTGGTTGAATGGGCTTGTGAGTGGTGGCTTATATATACAGTACATGTATGTATATATATATATTGTATATGACATTTGTGTTTGGGTGTGTGTGAGTGTGTGTACCGTCGTTTTTCTTTTAGTATTTTTATGTTTTTTTTCTTTTTTGCAACTTTGACGGTCTGACGCTATCACGTCCAGCGAAAGACAAACAGAATTCTATTTGTGTATGGTGATAGACCCCAAAGTGGCAAACTGCCCTGATGAGAAGCTACCATATGGCCATGATTATACCTTATAGCTATATGGTAATGGCATGCAATGGCTATATGATTATATGGATCTATATGGTTTTATTGTGATATATGGTTTAATGATTATAGTGATATATCATATATTATCATTATGGTATAATTAACTATATGGTATGTGATATACAGTCAATATATGCCATATATGTGATATATTGTGATTGACTCTTCGGGTCAGCAATCCACCAGAGGGCTGACATGGTTGGATCCCAGCTGTCGTGGATTTTCGGCAACCTGACCCATGAGCCGGTTGTATCTGCCCCATGGGCTTTACATGACGGTTTTTTAGCTATGGAAAATGGCCCATTTATAGATGGTTTTGTTAAAAATTGGGATTTTCTACAGTTATGGATGACAGATCTTAAGTGTTGTGTATCCCCATTTCTTCGGCTGGCAAGGTTTCATTCTTGTAATGAAATTCATCCATTTCCCACAAGATATTTCGTGTTGGGTCTAACCGTCATAGGGTGTATGTGATATGATCGGAGGTTAGGATTCTACCCATGTTGATTGGGTCAATCTTGCCGAAGAAATCATGGTGAATACAGCGATACGCATGCAACAGAGAGAGAGAGATATATATATATATATACATATATTATATACATACATATATATATATATATACATAAATATAAATGCCAATCGGCTATTATCAATGCTAATCATCTCACATTGTGTTGATGATTAGCATTATTAGCCCTAGAATACCATAATATGTGCTATAATACCATATAACCATTCGCCTAGCTTATCAGTACGCATGGGCTATATACTGTACCTGGTTTTGCTGAAGGTGATTGCTTGTTTTTTTTTCCAAAAGAAAATCCACGATTTTGGGAATCTATACTGACTCTTTTTTTTGGGGGGGAGGATCCTTCAGCAAATCCAAGTAACATGTATTGCTTTGTACATAACCCTTAAGTGATTGGAGTTATAAACCACCTTTGTTTGTATAACATATTTTGCCCATATTAAAAACCTTGCCGGCGTTTTTCTGTTTCTGCTTTGGTCCTTTGGTTCCTCAGGTGATGTATTGGATCATCTGGGACCTGGCGGATGCCATGAAGGACATTGATATCGCTCCGCCCATCCAGTCACGAATGTACCAAGAGCTCTCCAATGGCATGTCTGGGGCTTAGTGCGGTTTCATGGGATTTATTTCGATTTCGATGTCATGGGATTTCATGGAATTTAATCATCAACAAATAAGGATTCACAGTAATGGGATTTAATGGTGATGTAATATGATATTACGATGTTCCATTATATGGTAGAATAGAGATGGTATTAACGGAACTCTGGAACATCGTTCGACGTGATTTAAATACTGTTTTTGTAAACAATGGCAATTTTCCAGTTAGCAAACTGTTGGTTATTGATAGAGGCTACATATGTGGGTCAATTTTGATGCGTGGAAACGGTGAAGAGGCAATGTTTTTTTTTTTGCTACAACTGTATGAGAAAGTACTTGATGCATAATTAGTCAATAGCATCATTTAAGTACTATTATGATGACATGATATGGGTTTCTCAAGTTAACTCATCAATGATATGGGTTTCTCATGTTAACTTAGCCTCCTCCTTCCACGGTACGGGTACGGTGATATCATGACGTATCAGACGTATGGTTGGTGAATGACCCCCAGTGATGTTGACGTTATCATTGCCCGGTTTTCATCAGTTGAATCACCATGTAATGCATATCAGTATACTGTTTACAGGTAAGGTATATCCAAACATCTTATGCATATCTCTGTTGGGGTGCATCCTCAGTCCACTGATGTATTGATGTTCGCCATTTCCCCCAAGATTTGATTGGAACTTTGGCATAGCTTCAGGCTGGGCTTTAACAATTGCTTGAAGATTGCCGACGTGCCATTTCCACTTCCCTTCGCACAACTTCTGGGGCTTTTGCTCGTGGCTTTTTCGTTGCTGATTCCAGTGCAGCTGGGATTTGTACAACACCCTTGACAGTGCACATCTCCCAAACCCCGTGGATAGTCCTAGAATAAAGGAAACACGCCCAACAAACCGCAAAAGATGCTGACTTTTATTTGATTTCAGGTCCTTGATTTATATTGATTTATCATGTTTGTGCCACCATGGCAGGGGCTATAGCCCAACTCATGGCCCGTTTATATTGAATACCTCCATGACGTATGGTCCTCACCATTGTGTAAATCCCGTACTAAATCATGTTTTCTTTTTGGGGGGAGGTGTTTAGTATGATATAGATTTATATAGGGAGAGGGAATGAGTAACGATTTGTCAGGATGTTTTCCATTTTCAAAGTGAAATACCCTGTTTTCTGCCTACAAAGCAAGCGCTCCCGTTGTATTTAGTTGGGGGACTCTGGGTCACCTGCTGCAACGGTAAGCAGAATTCCGACCTGGGATTTCTGAGGAGAAGGATTGGAGCTGTTTTGAAACCACTCGCATGGGATTTTATGGGATTTTGATGGTATAATATGGTGTTTTAATGTGTTTTATGTATGGTTGAATACGGATAATAATGGGACAATGATGGGATTCATGGAATATAACAGGATATATATATATATATGTGTGTGTGTGTGCGTTTTATACATTAATGGACTTACCCTTCCGTAATCAAAAATGGTTCGCTGAGAACTCCCCTTAATAAATGGAGGTTTGTTCACAGATGGCCATCATCGGTCACTGGCCATCAGCCTGGCCTGGCGCCGAGGTACGTCATCGTCTTCACTCGATCTCCCATTGCGGGGCCAATTCTCTCCTTCTTGCTCTTTGCATCTTGGAAAAATGTGTTTTTCAAAATGTTATAACAGGCGAAGGGGCTTTTTGGGCAATCATATCCAACTGTTGATGCATGTATGATTCAGAATGATCAGTTTAATCGATTTGTTATATGATTTGTTGTATGATTTATTATATGAATAATATGATATTGTTTGTCATATCCAGATGTCGCACACTGATGAAATTGTGTGCAACTTTAATATAATCCCTTCTGCCTATAACATGAAATACCTCCCAATCCAAACTTTGGAATGTATAGGACCGGCCGGGCCCAGGAAAGCATTTGGTGCCTCAACGAGGTGGCAAAGGAGTTAGAAAACCCTTTTGGCCAAGACAGCAATGATGCTTGGAACGTGCATCAAGTTTCCAGCCTGGGATGAGCATCGCATTGGCGACCATGTCACCGGTTGGACAGGTGCAACTGAGTTCGTATGTGTGTCACAGATGTTTCTTGGATTTCCCCAGTTCCTTCCAGTTTCATGCGGTTTCATGCTGTACCCTAGATCCGTGCTGGGGAAATCTTGAATCTTTGGAGAAAACTTGGCATGAATGGAAGCTTGAGATTTAAATCCCAGCCTTGGGATAATGGCGGGTTGAACAAAGGCCCAGCCGATCATCGGCGGCATGACGCCGGTACCCTGACGAACATCAAAACATTGATAGACATCCGCAAAATAGTTTCCAGCTGTTGTCATGTTCACCCCGATGCCACCATGTTGGGTTTTATGGGTTTGATCAACTTTGATATGTCTTGACCCACAATTTTCAAAGCGTCTCAGACTCTCAGGATATCACACTGACGGACTTTCACTTGAACTTTGTGGATTCCTTGGAGGATGTCAGTATGGAAGGGCATCAAGCAATGCTGCACCATCCAACCATGGGCTACCTAGCCGCACTGGCAGCGGATGAAATCTTTGATTTCTAGGGCTAGAGAATCTGGAATGACCGGGGGAATGAGCAACTAGACTTAGTTGTAGGGTTCGGGGCTTTAGATATTGAAGACATAGGGGTTGTTTGGTGTGTTTGATTCTGAAAGACAACCACAACCTCAAGCACACACTACGAGTTCTCGGATTTCTGATGTCGATTTTTTGCAGTTATATTAGTAAGTCCAGTATGTTTTGGTCACAGTCACCTCCAGTGAATAGACCTTCACTCCAAAATTATGTCATTTGTAAATGGGAAAAAATGGGTGGTTGTCCATTGTCAGTTTGGATTGCCAAGTTGTATGTACCATTTTTGTTGGCCAACTGTTGGTGGTTTACTAGTGACTAGGGATGATGTACCCAGCAAACCATGGTTCATACGTGATCATAGGTTGTGGCAGTGATATTGCACATGGCATGTGTGTGTGTATGAATGTATATATATATACATACATATTATGTATATATATATATTGGCTTGATTCAAAACATATGAATTCATATATGGTGCCTCACCAGCTGCGGGGTGCGCAGCGCGAGCGCGCGAGCATTTAACACGTGCGCGCGCGAGGTGCGCGAGCAACAACAGGCGCGCGCGCGAGACGCGCGAGCAAATAGAGACGCGCGCGCGCGAGGTGCGCGAGCAAGGCCAAGATGCGCGCGCGTGCTCGCGCGCGCGCCCGTCCGACACGCGCGCGCGCAAATAAGCTCTCCGCGCGCGCAAATAAGCTCTCCAAATCGCAAATAAGCTCACCAAATCCACTTTTGGAGAGCTTATTTGCGCGCGCGCGTGTCGGACGGGCGCGCGTGTTCGCGCGCGCGCGCGCATCTTGGCCTTGCTCGCGCACCTCGCGCGCGCGCGCCTCTATTTGCTCGCGCGTCTCGCGCGCGCGCCTGTCTGTGCTTGCGCACCTCGCGCGCGCATGTGTTAAATGCTCGCGCGCCTGCGCGCGCACGATTTCAACAGGAAATGTTTCATATGTTTTAAAAAATGACAATATATATACATATAATTATATAATTATATCGATATCAATATATATATATATATAATGCGTGTGTGTGCGCATATCTCCATAATAAGATATAATACTCCAGTAGACAATATGATATTAGGGATGGATTCCAAACCTCCGGCCGCGCCGACGAGGCTTGGAGGATGACTTCGGCATGAGCTTTTGAGGATCGGCGCCATGGACATCTCGCGCAGGGGATGTGTCCGGAAGGATAGTAGCGCCATTCGTTGTGATATTCTCCGTATGCTTAGCATAATCCCCAAACTATTCCTCAACCAACTGCTGTTTTGCACACTGCTCCAGTACCCTGAGAAATTCGAGGAATTGCAGGGTAATTTGAGGAGAATTTACGATCTCTTACCATCTTTGTGGCGACACGTTTATTCACTATTAAGTTTGCATGTCTATGCATTTGTTATGCCAATATGCATGCGTATCATACACATATTGAGTCACTTCCATATTTTTCTGGTTGCATATTACGTATACTTAATTATACGTATACACATATACAATCACAAACATATGTGTATATATATATGTATATATATATGTATATATATATACATATATATATATACATATATTTATATTTATATATTTATATATTTATATACATATATTTATACTTAAGTAGTGAGCCGGCTATTGAGCGGCCCTTGCCGATGATGTGTCAGTCATGCGTACCTCTTACCGCTTGAACGATCCCAGTTGACATACATATTGTTTGCAGAGTGGCTCAATGTTTCCTGAAGAATCCGGCACTTCCCTCCAAAAAACAAGCATATTCAAACAAATGTCCAGCATCCTTCCATTCATGGGTATACTCATGCAACACCCAACAAGCCACTTGCATTCGTTGCATACCCACTCTCACACTCCATTCCCTTGGTAAATTGTGCTTTGGTAGATGAACGGTTTATGTTGCTGTGACCAATGTGTGGCTTCTACGCATTGTTTTCTTTTTGTAACATAAGATATGCTGTGTAAATAAACTGTGTATACATATATATATAATATATATATGTATATATGCATAATCATATACTGTATATTTTGCGATGTATAGTCAGCCAATATCCCTGTAGGCTTGATTGTACATAATTATATATACATATATATGGTGTATATATATATATATGCATCTACAAGGAGGTACTGGTAGGTAGATAGATAGATAGATAGATAGTTAGATATCAGATAGATAGATAGCTAGATAGATAGTTAGATATCAGATAGATAGATAGATAGATAGACAGATAGATGGATAGATATATATATAGAGATAGATAGATATATAGATAGATATATAGATAGATACTTGTAGATACTTGTAGATACTTGTAGATACTTGTAGATACTTGTAGGTACTTGTAGATACTTGTAGATACTTGTAGATACTTGCAGATACTTGCAGATACTTGCAGATACTTGTAGATACTTGTAGATACTTGTAGATACTTGTAGATACTTGTAGATAGTTGTAGACACTTGTAGATACTTGTAGATACTTGTAGATACTTGTAGATACTTGTAGATACTTGTAGATACTTGTAGATACTTGTAGATACTTGTAGATACTTGTAGATACTTGTAGATACTTGTAGATACTTGTAGATACTTGTAGATACTTGTAGGTACTTGTAGGTACTTGTAGATACTTGTAGATACTTGTAGATACTTGTAGATACTTGTAGAAACTTAGAGATAGATACAGAGAAACATGTAGATAGGCAGGTAAGTAGGTAGGTGGCAGGTAGGTACGTAGATATATCGATAGAGAGAGAGATATATATATAACATGGTGCCAAAACACGGATCCCTTTCCAAAGTCAGACATATCATTCGGGTTGATTTCCTCATCTTTCTTCTGGGGTCACCTCCAAGCTGCACATTTGAATGACATCAATTTTGTTTATCCTCTATATAGACCTTTCACCCAAAACATATAAATCGGCAGCCTTTTGGAGATGATGTCCTTGTCTGAAAATAGGCTGTCCTGATATCTGCTTCTGAGTTAAATCAGTGTGGCCATTTCAAGACGGAGCCGGCTGGGACTTTCCTTCCCACACCCTGGATGCGCTGTAGCCGCAGCCGTAGCTGGTTAGAATTCTGGATCATGACTGGTTGAAGCTAATGGTTCCACAATCATATTGTAAATACATGCAAACAGAATCATAAACCAATCAATATTTTTGGTTATTAGTGGAATGAATAATAAACCACTAAAAACCATCACAGTACTGCTAAAAATGACTTGGTTGCGTGAATAGTTTATAGCATTCGGTTGGCACAGAAAAGGGAGGGTTTATATTATAAACCTGCTGGATAAGAATGACAATAAGAACACCATGTTTTGACCGTGTCCGGCAAAGATAGAATTCGAGGAAATCCAAGAGTATTGGGATGCTTTAGATATATAATAGGAGCATAAGAATGGTATCAGCCTAGAGTTGGAATCACCCTTGTATTTGGGTTTCTACTCGGAGACTCGGCTGCCGAATCGCAGATTTTGCCGCTCGTCGCAGCGACGATTCGCATGCCAGAGGCAGCGAAACAAAATTCCGCGTTTCACATGTTTAGTTGGTGGTTTGTGGAGAGTTGGTTGTTTGTGGAGAATTTGAGAGCTGGTCCTATCGTTTCATGTGTTGTGTTTGTTTCCTGGCATATTTTGCCTCCAATCAGTGCAGAAAGTATATATTGCAGTCGTATGAGGGCATGATCTACCTGTACGATTGGAACTCTGAATAATTCCTGGCATCCTCCCACGGTGTTTCAAAGGAGAGCCATCACTCTGTAGCTGCATGGTTTCATGGAATCAGCCTACTCCAATACCCATGGCCCATGACCAACTGGAGGAGAGATCAGCTTTCAATATATCGAAACCACGAACTAGATTTGCTTGCACTAGCTCCCCTCGCCGAATGGCAAGCCGAGTGAGGTTCTGACTGATCCGTTGACTGTGCACTTGACGTGCCACCTCCGAAATTAACAAACCAGAAGGAGAAAAAAGAGATAAGCTGAACCTGCCAGGGGTGATTGATACGGAGGGAAACTCACGAGGACATTACCACCATGAATTGCGGTTAGAATTGAATCATTTCTATCATATAGTTTTCTGAGTCCGATTGATCACCCATGATTCATTGTTTTATGGTTGACCGACACCGATTTCAGCAGCAGAAGCCTGCTCCAAGATGCTTTTGTAGGTGTTGCACTCGCATGGTTGGTCCTGCAAACCGCACTTCTCGCGCAACTTAAGTTTTATATCCATCTAATAAGTACCCTGACCAGAAAAGAGATAGACAAGTGAAGTCCAACCAAACTAGCGGTAAACTCTTTTTTTTGATGTACATATATGTATACATATATAACTATATATATATATATTATGTGTGTGTGTATTCCATCATGCTGGGAGGGTAGTACCGCCGGAGTACTACTGATCTTTGATGGTCCGTTTTGGTGACTGCTGTGATGTGTTAATGACTCATTGAGAGCTGATGAAGAATTGTGGCCAAATCTGTCCAATGAATGCCAACCAACCCACACATGGTCAAGGGATGTATTTCGGGCATGTCATTTGGTAATCAAACTTCTACAGTGGATAAACAAGATGTTCAAGAGCCACGTAATTTGCATGTTTGGGAATTGTCTGAGCACGTTGTGTTTGATTACCAAAGGATAACCCAGAAAGCCTAGCAGCATTTCGTAGCACATCGACAACCCATTATCCTTTTATTGTACCGCTTGGTCAGTCTAACTTATGATCAACTCACCACCGCTCCATTGCCGTGTAACATCATGATATATGTTAGTTTTAGCCCTGTTTTACTAGCTCTTAGTGGGCTCCAGCCGGCTCCAGCCGTCCCTTATCAACACCCAGCCCGTGATGAATCACTAGCCCCTCATAATCTTCTGATTCGCAGTATAAAAGGTATCAACCCCTAGACAGACATAGACAAACGCCGCATGTTCAAAAATCCTATGGTTCAAAACTAAAAATGACCAAAATTGTGGACCCGTCGGGTGTCACTTTTTTGATTATATAAATTTTATGAAACCCTCAAAATCGCTAGAAGATACCCCATATGTATCCATATGTTTCCTTATTTTTGGCCATCTTTTGTGGTTGAAAACTATGTTAGCCATCAAATCCCTGCTAATCAGGGCTTTCCCATATGAAACACCCCCTCAGAAACCATGGCTTAGTAGCGAAATTCCACATATTGGAACCCTTTAGGCTGATTTTTCATGACCCCATCGCTCCCCGAGCGATAGGTGGCGAGCACGGTGATGTGCTCCTCTGCGTCCTGGGCTACGGCATGCTCTACAACCACGCCAAAGCGCCGGTGTCAGCGGCGCAGGGCTTGTCCGAGCCTTGGATGTGGGTGTGGGGCCAAACAAAGCCCGATGATTTATAGTGAATTCATAGGATTTCACCATCCAAAAGTGGTGATTTATATAATGGTGATTTCATGGGATCTAGTGGTGACTTGATGGTGATTTACCCTCTGGTAATGTTTGCTATGGAATACATCGTTTTTTTATTGGAAAATCATTTGCACATGTGCCATTTTATGCAATTTGTCTTGCCAATGTTAAATTTGCAGAAGGTGAAATAATCAGTAGAACTATATTAACATAGGTAAACTAGCAACAAATGCGGACAGAAACCAGCAAATTGGGATATATATTGGTACACCCAACAACACTGGTGGATGTTTTGTGTGTTAGCTTTCTGTGAATTCGAGGTTTCCCTGCCCACACTGTGATTGTTTACTTCACCATCTTTGGTTTTCTTCTGAAGCAGCTACAACTGGCAACCATGATGACCTGGTGTATGATGAGTGCCAGTGCTTAGGAAAAAAACCTGATAAACCTATATTTTTAAGAGATGACAATCAGAATAATGATAATCCTTTGCAGTAGAGACGACAACCCCAATATGTATATATATATATATGTATATATATATATCTATATATATAATATGATTTGTTGTACAGTATGCATCCTTGTTTCTGTCCATATTTGTCCATAAATTGCAATGGGTTGGCATTCTTAGGGGCAGCAACCTCACTGGCCGAGCTGAGTTTGCACCGTTCCGTTAGATCCAAAACAGAGTTTCTCAGCTATTTTGGGTGTATTTGTGCAGATGATACCATGATTTTCCCAATAATTTTCCATTTATATCCCATGATCTTAATTCAACCAAGACATTGATGGGATATTATGATATTATTGGGATAATAACCAATAATTAATACACCAATGTTATGAGATAATTATACCACTATTATCAAATGAATACCCTCTGGTAAACGTTTACATAACTATGCAAAGATCCATCATTTTCTAGCTGGGTAAATCCACTATTTCGACTGGGCCATTTTCAAGTTCGCAAACTGTAAACGTTTACCAGAAGGTAAACCTCTATTTTCCTATGGTTTTCCTATGGTTTTCCTATGGTTTTCCTATGGTTTTCCTATGGTTAACCATGATGATCTCATTAAAGGCACCGTCCATGGTCCTCTGGTCCTCCAGATCTCCACAAATCTGCGCCAGGTCCAAGGACTTTGCAAATCTGACGTATGTCACTCGCAATAGATTTGTGCAGGAAATAGATGGAAATTGGTGTATTTTTCCGTATGTTATTAGTCCATAACCTACCATGAGTAACCACTATGAATCATCATTAGCCATCATAAATCCGGTTGGTAATTTGGAACATGTTTTAAACATTTTTTCCATTGGGAATAATAATCCCAAGTGACTTTTATAGTTTTCAGAGGGGTTGAAACCACCAATCAGATATACGTATGTTATTTGTGTTGGTTAATATATACAGTTCCATTTCAATCCCAGTTAGATGATGGGAAATCTTGTCAACTCACTGACCCTCTAGTAATTTCAAATAGCCATGGAAAATCATCCTTCTCACGAGGTATTTTAATCAACCAACGACATGGACCATTCTTTTTTTTTTCCATGGCGATGTTAACTTACCAGAGGACTACAATCCCAATTGAGGTATCCCCATATATATATATATGATGTATATAATAATAGTATATCACCAGTACATCAAACTGTAATATCCCTTGGGTTCGGAATCTCTCGTGAGATCCCATTTTTGATGGTCAAATCCCATAATTTCTCAAACAAAGTATGGCCAACCTACGCCTGATAGGTTGATACATCACCATAAACATCCATAAACACTCAGGTTGTTAAACACCTATAGTTTATCATAGTTTCATATACGGTTTTATACCCAGTGGATCCATAAACCCACAAATAGATGATCTATCCTTTTCCATTTGCATTGAGATATCTATTTACCCTATGGATGTAGATATTTAACACCACTAACCCACCATATTTATACTTTGACACCCACCTAGCGCCACCACATCTCAGGCGCTCCACGCCTCTCCGGCGCAGCTGCGCGACGCGCGCGACGGCAACGTTTGCGTGCGCTTCGTGGCGCGGCGCCGCATCCAGGTGCCGTGAAGCCATCAAGGGATGGGTCCCTGGGTATTGCATGATAAAGTGGTACCCTCTGGTAATTTAACTATTATGAAATGGGAAATCGCTATCATCCATGGGAAAACTCACTATAAATTACCAGAGGGTATTAATGGGAAAACCACTATTTTTAATATTATTAATGCATTAAATATGGAAAATCACTATTGTTAATGGGAAAACTCACTATAAATGGCCATTTTCAATAGCTATGTTAGTTTACCAGAGGGTATTCTAAATGGAAACCATAAAATTATGTTCCCTAATTAATGGATTTTTTTAAGGGTAATGTATTTTAGGGTATCAATGTATGATGATATCATTGTACTTGTATTCTTTATGGAAAAACATATGTTTTGATCGGTAAGTAATTTTGAGCCATCATTTTAGTCTATGTGTAGGGTTATATAACCATCTATATAATGATTGGGGTACTCAAGTTCGGTCCATGGCCATATGTGATAAATGGTATTACCATTTGGTTCTTTAATGTAGCTATCAAAAACAACTATTTTTGATAGGTGGAACATGGTAAATCATCGAACTAAATGGGCCATTTTCCATAGCTATGTTAAATAAACATAGGGTAGATGTTTGTAATAGGAAATTATCCACATTTTATATTTACAGGTATAATGTGAATCCAAAGCTTGGGGTGATTATCATGGAAAAGATGTGGACCTAACACATGAACAGTGGGTATAAATGTTTGACAATAGGATTCAGGTATGTATCACTGGTTTTTGATTTTACAACATTTGGTAGATGTTTATAATTGGCATTAACAAGCGTAAATGGTATTGAGAATACGCATTGATGACTATTGTTCAGAATTGGTTTGATTCTTTTGTCACTGTAAATACCTAGAATCACTCATGTTATTTGCACGAAATGTGGATTGAATTTAACTGTTCTATCATTTGTCATTGTTTGATCAATGAAGACGTGTTTGATAACAGATAGGCTATGCATCACCATTTTATCCGGTAATTATTGTAGAAGATGATTTTGTTTGGAGTTGAAACGGGGGGGTGAACATACCAAAAATCAAGTGGGATGGTGTTTTTGGCCAGCAAACATGGAGCTAGTACCGTTTTTTGATTCGATCATGATCCGCGACCATTTCCCTTTCCATGTATCTTAGCCGATTTTGGATGGAGAAAATCATGGTAAATGAGCATGGATTTCAGTTGGTTGGCTTGTTGTTTAGGTCCTGGTCCTAAACAATCCATAGCTCACATTGCCACAAAGTGATGCCCCCTAGTTGGCAGATTTGGTTTGACACTTAAGCTAATTGTGGTTTATGGTGGCGCATGATGCCCCCTAGTTGGCAGTGATATACCCACCATAAACCTAGATATACCATAAACCATGATATCATGGTATATCTACGGGCGCATGCGTTGATAAACCAGCGGCTTGAACTGCGCTTGGTGCCACATCGCAGGCGACCAGGGACCCATGTTGGTGAACCCCCAGCCCAACCTGCAACCAGTTGAATCCCCATGATCATTGGTTATATCCCAGTATATTCCCCTGATATCTCCACGATATTTCTTGATATCCCATGAAAACATCATCATGAAATTCCCATGAAATCATAGAGATTTCTTTTGAATTTTAAATCATCATCCAGTATATTTTGGTTAAAACCGTCCAGGAAGGTGAGGAGCTGCTCATCGATTACTCTGACCGTCCTGCTGCCATGGCTTCTTGGGGCTGTCAGGGGCTGGGGTCTGCTCCCCCATAGGATTGATACTCTGGATGGAAGAAATCCTGCACCACCTTGGATGGTGGAATCCCTATAAATAGCTGATTGGTGGTTCGGAACATTTTCTATTTTTCTATTGGGAATATATAATCATCCCAACTGACTAATATTGTTCAGAGGGGTAGATATACCACCAACCAGATAGTGGGAAAAGCTGACATTCAACTGGTGCAGGATTTCTTCCACCGTAGGAACCCCCCAATGATTGGACCACCATTGGACTCCCATGCCAAGAATCGTCCCATACTATTGGGCTTTCCTATTGGAGTAGTATGGGAATTGCAGCTCCCATGACTGGGAGTCCCTATAAATTCCACCGAAAAAAAGGCATTGCAGTAATTCTTTAATTCTTTTATTGGCCAACTGTTTTGGCCCGCCCATTGAAACACTGAAATTGCTGAGACCAGGTACTACCAAGCATGGGTAAACATATAGCAGCACCATGCAGGAGCACTAAATATCTACCCAGGGTTGGAGGATGACTTTCCAATAATAGGGGTACAAATCACGCTACCCTCCGATGTCATCAAACGTGGCGTGCTGGCAAATCACCCATTGATAGATGATTTTTGCAGCTATAAACCTCCATTTAGTTCGGGGATTTCCCAGCTAGCCGCGTTTGATTACCGGAGGGTAAATCCATGAATAGTCAATTATTATCCCATGATTTCTCCATGATCATCCCTAATATTGAACCACATGAAACGCCAACACACCGTATGTCATGACTGGGTCAATTCACATGCAATGCCGTTGCACATGACTGGACCTGGCAATGTAAACTGCCCAAAAACCAAGGGTCAACCTTGGTTAACCAATGGTAATCCATGGTAAATCTAGTTTATAGATATTGATATCTTGGTTATCTATTTTCATTCGTACCTTAGTCTTTTGCTATCAATGGTAAAATGTATATGCTACACAAATATGATTTTTTTCGGCATCTAAGGATTACTATGCATATCGGGCGATGGTCATGAATCCATTTTCATAGGGTTTTATTTTGTTCAGCAGGATTCGCCTTTTGTGGGATGGATGGCCACTCATGGCCATGCAAAGTATATTATGTCCGGACGGGTGGATCCAGGTCCTCCTGTCGCTTGACCGATCCCTTTTAGCTTCAGCTTCAGATTTTGGGTCCCTTAGACCATGCATGAATGAGTGCGGACCCCGGCATTGCCATTTTTTCAATGTGTTGAAGTCAGGCGGATGCTTGATGAACCAGTTCGCCAATGATTGAGATAATGATTCTTACTTAGGAAGTATGGACCGGCTGGTATCGCAAAAACAACTTGACGACCACTATTGCGTTTGGCATTTTCTTTTGAAGCTTACCCGCGGCAAACACAATGCAAACCCCCAGGTGAGTACATGATTGGGTCCACGTTCAACCCTAGACTTAGGGACACGATTTGAACCTTGAGTTCCTGAGTTCCTATTATTTTTAGATGATCATTTCATTTTTTTAATATTCACCAAAAGGCGGTCTATTCCAGCCCCGATCCATTCAGAAAACCATTGACATCGTTCAGCCCTCGGGGTTGCCATGTACCCTGGCTGCCCTGGCTGCCCTGGCTGCCGCGGCTATGTCCGGCCACAGCAGTCACAGCTCATTGCTGGGGCTGGGTGAAGTGGCCAAAGAGCTTTTCTGCTTTCTGCCCATCCATGTCGCTGGGCGCAGATTTTTTTTTTCCGGAAAGGAGAGGATGGGGTCGGAGAATGTATTAGATATTGTATAGATATTGTATAGATATGGACTATTAGATCTATTAGGTATGGAAGATGATAGGCTTTGATATAGAGCCTTTAGAACCAGGAAGAGCGAGACAAAGTCACTTGAGTCGATGGTCGGCAGCCGGGGCCACGGAACTAATCACTTGAAAAACAAAGTTGGGAAACGGGAAAAGTGAGCATTTAAACAAAGAGGCACGCGCACACACACACATATATACATAAATTCGGCAGCTTGTTGATCCTTGTTTTGGGTCATTCAAAAGATGGCATTCGGAACTGTCCAGGCCACCAGAATTGGGGGTTCAGGGATTACACAGAAGTACCTTCTTAAAGCAACTGCTACTTGTACAGTACATAAACAGACTAGTTCTCCTTAGGAAAAGTACCAGTAGCAGTTACCTGCGCAAATTCAACTGCTACTTGTACATTCAGTTCATAATTCTTCGATTTGAATAGACTTGATTGTTATTACTTCTCCTTAGGAAAATCGCAACTTTTCGTTCAAAAACAACATGTCAGTTTTTCTGCAGGTCGCCCCATGTTTGGGTCGCTCTCCCAGTGGCCTGGGGATCCTGGCAAGCCCTCCTCTAAACCAACCTAGATGTGGAAAACCCCCCATTTGTAGATTATGTTTGTCGCGCAACCATTGGTTTTCCATGTTTTTTCCACATCTACGTTAGCTTACCCTAGGTTAGATGCAAAGAAACGGAATATCACGCAAAAGTCGATGGAAATGCTGGTCCAGCCACGATTTCTTCAGGACCTTTTTCCTTTGTTCTGTGCTTCAGGCGCCCTGGGGCTTCGCGGTGAGCCCCAAATCCATACAGCCCATGAAATGTTGGTTAATTCCATTGATGTTGGTGAAGTTTATTAGCTTTTATCCCATGAATTATTCAATCAAATATCCATATTGATTCATTTAGAAAAAGTGTTTGTTCTTTTACAGTATTAGTTCCTATTGTTGGGTCCTGTCGTTTCCTATGAGCCCATCAATTCCTACAGGTCCCGTCTTGTTTCCCAGTACATCATTGGTTACTTACTACTGCATGGATATAAGTATATACTGAAACCATACTATTTACTCTTGATAATTCCATATGAGTTTTCCAGTATTAAATCGAATCCATCTTGGTTCTTTGAAATTGCCATGATCCCCATAAATCCCTATAAGTTTCTATAAATCCCTATTATTGTTAAGATCCCCATCATATGAAGTCCCAATGATTAATTATTCATTACTACACAGTGCAATACCCTTACAGTAACTTTTTCTTGAATCCATATTATTTTCTGTCTATTAACCACATTAATTCCTAACACTTATTATCGATGGTGATTTCTACACCATTAACATCTAATCATAAACTATCAATGATTGCTGTTACCTAGTTACTCTTACCAAAATTATCACCTTTTCTATCACCCTTACCATTCATGTCCTTATTAGTGTCCTTATTAATGTCCTATCATTATTCATATCCTATTCTTGGGTTTAATAGGTGCTTAATAAATCCCTTATTAATGTGGGTAAAGCAATGCCATAAACCACCCATGACTGGGAACGGTAAACATACCACCTAAAAAATATATATTAAACATGGTGATGACTGGGGGATGGCTCATTATTGTTTTACCCACATTACCCTCTGGTAAACCAACATAGCTATTGAAAATTGCCATTTACAGTTGATTTACCCATCAAAAATGGTGGTTTTCCAGTTCGCTATGTTAAATTACCAGAGGGTAAACCTCCATTTTCCTATGGTTTTCCTATGGTTTTCCCATTAAAACCTCCATTTTCACCCGGAAAATCGTACCATTTGTAGCGCCAGGCGCCTGTTGTGGCCTTTGCCGCCTGTCTCTGTCCACCTTGCGACTCCAAGCCTTTGGCAGCGGAGCATCAGAGGTTTGACCGAGCCCTGGAATGATGGTTAGTAAGGAGAACCACCCAAATATAGCGAACATATGTGTTTTCCCCTGGTAAAAACAGTGGTTCTTGGGATGTAAAGACCATATGTTGTTTTATGAAATCTAAAGTGGTGATTTCATACAACGATTTCATGTGGGATGTAAAAAAAAGGATTTGTCATGCGGATATGTTCGCAAAAAAAAAGTAAGAACTAGGGCGTATCTTAAATGGTGATTCAACATGAATAAATTTCCTTTTGTGAATGTATAATGTGATGTTTTTGGCTAAAAAGAGCTGCGATTTGTTGCTGGCGAAAGCTGGTGATGTGTCTGAACATGGAATACCCGTAAAATGGCGATTGTATAAACCATGGGATGTGTGGCTGACCCATTTTCAGGCAAACCGATACTTCGTAAAACCATAGTTTGCCTTGGAAGATCATGAAGAATTCAACCAACCAGAAACCATGCTGGGGATTTGATCACGGATCAAAGTTATAAGCGATGTGGGTTTTAACGCATGTGGCTTGAACCAATAGATTTGCCATGAACATGTGCATAAATCCAGGAGGGAAAAGCAACAAGTTGGAACGGAAATGTCAGCCATGATTGATCCGCAAAACATAGGGCTTTACCTTCCCGCAACCGAATATGGCAAGGGAACTCGTTAAACTCGATATTCTTAAACGGCCGACTGAAAACCCATCGTGTTTTTGTGTGGGGTGGTGCTGCCATCCAAACATAACTTGGTAGATTGTTTGGCTAGAATTCCTTCCGAAACACGCACACACACACACACTCTCTCTCTATATATATATACAGTATTGTAAATAGATAAAACAAAGTATGTATATATATATTATATATATATTATATATATATACATGTGTGTGTATGTATGTGTGTTATATTGCACAGAGACAACATGAGACAACAAAGAGAGAAGGAGGGAGGGAGAGAGAGAGAGAGAGAGAGAAAGAGAAGGAAAACAAAAGCATGATATCCCCATGGTACACCATGAAACTTGCCATTTTAATCCGGGCGAATAGCCATTCTTCGGGGGAGCTGGAAAATCTCCCCGTGGCCAGGCCCTGCTTTGGCTCGTCAAGCTGCCATTAACAGATCGAGGCGTGCGATGTGTGACTGCTTGGTGAATAGCTAGTGGCTGCCAGCGGGATTGGAGGATAAACTGAATTCTATGCATAGCACCTAGTTGGCCAACATTCTATATAATCTTGTTTTTTGGTTGGGTTTTGACCAATTCATTCAATCATTACGGTTCAGGGAGTGGTATGCAACATAATGTTGACATGCTATTAATAACCCCCCTCCCCCAAACATTAAGAGCATCTAAATAAAATTTACGCCAAACATTGGCCAGGGGTCCCTGGAAAATTTTCCAGACCTATGTGGCGCCGAACAAATTGCCGAATTGAAAACGGGGAGGTGGTTACTAATATTTCCCGGGATTGGGCGTACTTAATCACGGCGGGTTCTCTAATCGCATGTGAACATTAATTAGATACTTCAAGCCTTACGGTGGTTACAGTAGCCATATAAGTTTCTTTAAGCAGGACATGCCCGATTATAGAAGGTACGTGTATATTATAGAAGGACATGCCCGATTATATACGGCTATAGAAGATAGCCCTCATATTCATTTACAGATTTGCTGCAGGCCTAAGTCCTTTTTAGAAAAAGCATGGCAGGCAAAACATTTAGATATCAGGCATTGTATGAATATGCGAGGCAAAAAAAAATATAGTACAATATGGATATACTCATATAGGCATACAGTGTTTTTGCTATGCATGTTTAAGGAAACCCACATGCTGTTCTTAGCATATACAGAAATATCATATATGGGTTTAGTTATATGGGTATTATATGGTTCTAATTTGATATACATGGTTCTATGTGTATTTAGACCTAAGGACCTATGAAAAACCTTAATTATATGATATGATATGTTACAGGCACTGATAGCGCTATCTCAACATCTATGGATTTCCTTGGATTTTTCAATGAAACACTAAACATGTTTGTTTCACTGTATATTACAACTGTATATCATCTTTGAATGGTGAACACATGGCTCCCCCATGCAGGCGCCAGCATCCGCGAGATCAACGCCTCCTTTTGCCACTTGACTTCCGCCACGCTGCAGCAGCTGCCGCAGCTACCAGCGCTGGAGCGGCTGAACCTGGATGGCTGTCAAGATGTGGATGATGAGGCCGTGGGGATCTATGGGTAAAATGAGGGGAGCAACAAAACATAGGAAAACATAGCTGGTTGGTGGTTTAAAACCATGGTTTAATGTGGTTTTATGTGTTTTAATAGGGAAAAGTATTGGATAACTTGTTGGTGGTTTGGAACATCATATTTTTTCCATATATTGGGAATGTCATCATCCCAGCTGACGAACTCATATTTTTCAGAGGGGTAGGTATACCACCAACCAGAAAACATGTTGAAAAAAACATGGGGACATTTCGATCATGCGACTGCCAAGATGAGTTGACGTTTTTTCAAACATCTTTTCCTATGATGATTGATGATGCTGATGGTGGTGGTGATGAGAATTGATGGTTGATGATTGATGATGATGTTGACGCCTGGCGAGAACCAACGAGCTCACATGAGCACACCATTCGGATTCCAAACGAAGGACCGCGATGGAAATCACCCCATTTTATAAAGCGATACTACGCTGATTCAAGTATTGTAAAGGACGATACTTCAAGTTCGGTGAAAAATAGTCGATGATGTTGCAAACCATGGGACATCAAACAATTCTTCCAAGATGATTGGGGTACAACCTTCCAATATTGATATTATTGATGATGCAATGGCTAAATACGATTACCCTTTGGTAAACTAACATAGCTATGGAAAATCACCATTTTCAATGGGAAAACTCACTATTTCTATGGTCATTTTCAATAGCTATGTTAAATTACCAGAGGGTAATTAACTCATGTTGAATCCCAATTTACCTCATCTGTGATTCCGGTGTGATCCCCATCCCTGAGGTGCTTGAAAATTTATCCTCTAGTTATGACTAACAGTTCGCCATGGTATAGATGGCCCATAGAAATAGTTGGTTTACCTGGGTTTACCTATTAAAAATGGTGATTTTCCATGGCTATGTTAGTCATAACCAGAGGGTAAATCCCATCAAATCACCATAAAACCTACTAAATCATAGTAAATCCTGGTTAAATAACCATTTTATACCCATCCATTTCATGGAAAATCCGTGAAAAGTCCTTCCCAGGGCTTGGCAGCCATCGCAACCCGTTGCCGGAGCCTGAAGTCCTTCAGCATCTACTGGAACGTCAAGGCCTGGATTTTGTCCGGAGAGGGATGCTGAAACTGGTCCATTCATGGGATTTTTGGCCCGCAAAAATGATCATTTCATGAAATTTAACCAATTTAACCCTTCCAAGATGGTGAATTTCCCCACATTCCACATTTCGAAATGTCGGTAACAGTTGGTTAACTTTGATGTTTTAAGTGATTTTAAGTGGTTGTGGTTCACCAGGTAGATTTGGACTTGCACTTGCAATGGCTAGATTTGACCGCTTGGAACTGGTGCACTGGTACGGCTCAAGTGCACAGCTAGCCTTGGCGGTTTGGTGATCTCCATTGACAAATATATGTTTCAAGAGGGTCAACATCTGTCAACCACTTTCCTGCTAAGATGATCATTCCACTTGGGAACCAGTCCACTTGGGAATTGCGAGGTGGTGGGATACCTGCAGGGGACTCAAAGACTGTGAGCTGGGTAAGCCCTGATAAATAGATATAAATAGTAGCTTGAGAGACCAGACTAACTTGTGAGCCACACATAGTTGGAGAGATGCCATGCTAAAGAGAACTTATATGGTGCCCGAGATTGGCCAGGTGAAAACTTACCACATTCCCAGTATTGGATGGGAAAATTGAAGCTGGAAATCCCAATCAATTCTGGGGAAAACATTATGGACAAAAAGTCATGTCATTATATCCCATTAGACCTCCATGGGACCGCCATAGTATACCAATATCCGCCCACTTTTAAATATCTACATCTATATATAGATACTACATACATATATATAAACAGATAGATAGATAGATAGATAGATAAGATAGATAGATAGATAGATAGATAGATAGATAGATAGATAGATAGATAGATAGACAGATATAGATGTAGATATAGATGTAGATATAGATGGATATAGATATATAGATATATACATGTATTGAATAGGTATATACATACATATATATATATACATATAAAGGTAGACAGACAGACAGACAGACAGACAGACAGCCAGCCAGACAGACAGACAGATAGATAGATACATGGATAGATAGATGGATGGATAGATGGATGGATGGATGGATCGATAGATAGATGGATACATAGATAGATAAATCGATATACAATATCCTCTGGCCCTCTGCATGGCAATGGAACACTACCCATTTCAATTCGTTCGATGATTTTTTCCCAGCAGCGTCCAGGTGACAGACGAGGGTCTGGGGAAGGTCTTGCGGGCGCAGCCCTGCGGGAGACTGCAGGACGGAACTACGGATGCCTGGTGGGATTTGGTTGGTGATGAAAGGGATTTGTATATTTTATGCAACCATTCAATATCATTTAAGGGGTTTAATGGACTTTCAACCATCAACGAATAGGGACCTAATGGGAGTACATGGTGATATAGTCCTCAAACATGGAGATATGTTATGATAGTTTAACATTGCCTTATGAATTAATTGGTGGTAGTAAGAGGATATTAAGGGCCTCTTAACATCTCTTAACCATGAGTTCCCATTATATCCCCATCATATCCCATCAGATCACCACTAAATCCCATTAAATTACAATAAAATCACCATAAACCACAATAAACATGGGATTAATAAAGATAGTTACCATTACCTCTACAATAACCATTAAAGTACCATAAACCACAATAAACCACAATTTTTACTTACCATTAATAAATCAGATAAAATTACCATGAATGTTACCATAATACTCCAATGTTTTATCCATTTTTGGAGGAACATCACCATTTTTCATGGGAAAACTCACTATAAATGGCAATTTTCAATAGCTTTTTATATGTTTTCAATAGAGGTTAACCATCGCCAGGAGCTGTGCTTCAGCGGTTGCAAGTTCCTCTCCGACGAGACGCTGCAGCGCATCATCGGCCGCGCACCGCATCTGCAGCTGCTGGACCTCACGCGCTGCCCCAAGGCGTCCCCAGATCCCCAGACTGGGGAAAAATGGCGGATCTGTGGAAAATCTATGGAAAACCCATGGGGGAAATCCCCTAGAACTGGAGGTTTTCATGAGAAAATCCATGGGAAATCAATGAAATCCATTTCCGGGAGATAGCAACATATCCCAAGATATTCCTTATTTTGCTTGGTGAAATATTTGTTACCAATCGCAGACTGTTTGCCATCAATCCCTTGTTTTTGGTTACATGCCAAAACATGACCACATCCACTGACGTTTTGTCCTCGGTGCCTTTTCTTTGCCAGCTACCAGGTGGTGCCTCCCATTTATGAAATGTCGATGGAGGGGATCCCAAGGTCACCATGTACAGCACAAAAATGGTCTGATTACCCTCTGGTAAACAGAACTATAGAAAATCACGAAAATCAACTATAAATGGTGTATGTTCAATAGCTATATTAAATTACCAGAGGCTATTTTGATTTGGGTGATTTGGGGTACCTCTATGTTAGGACACCTTCATAGTTGCCACATCCATCTTAGATCATCTGGGGCGCCCCAGCTGGGGCACTGGGGCACCCCACAGTCACCCCACCTTGGTGCTCCAGGTGAGTGACCTCGGCGCCACCTTGGTCTGCGAGAACCTCCCGGAGCTGCAGATCTTTCGGCTTTACGCTATGGCACAGCTGAACCCCTCAGCCTTTGCGCAGCTGCAGAGGCCTGGTGCCGGTGAAAACATGCCAAAAGATGCAAAGTTTTGGGGAGAATATTGGCTGTGCGTGGGCAGGTTTGAAGCACTCGCATCTTACTGGAACCAATTCCGTAACATCTCCCTGTTTCAATGGTGGTGCCAGTGGGGATGGAGGTATCTACGTAGTTCCAAATTTGGCTGGATGGCATGGAATACATCAAAATCCCCGTGAACCATCCATTGTAGATCAAGTCTTGTATCTATAGACTCACATGTTGAATTGAGGTTTCACCATTTTAAATAATTTTTCTAAGGTTTCAATTCCATATGTTTTCCGGGACCCCCATCAAGATTCACATGTGCCATGGTCAAAACATGCGTAAATTGCCACTATTGGGGTGGGCCATCCCCATGAGGAGAGATTCGCATGCTCATTGTGAGGATTTCCATGGAACCCCTAATGATGGGGGGATGACCATATCCCATACCCTCTGGCAATAAACAAATAGCCAAGGAAAATTACAAATTTCCAGATGATTTACCTATTATTTTTTTCATGGCTAAGTTAGCTTATAAGAAGGTATGCATGAGTATACCATGTAACTTGACCATGACACGTACTCAGTTGGTTTTATGACCTACTATATCCCATTATATGAACTGGTTAAATCCTCTATGTTTGCTGAACTCTTCATGTCACCATTTCCTGATGATAAATCCTCTATAGATAGTAGTATCATGTCGTATCCAGTATCCCAATATAATATCCCAATATTATCCCATTATAGATCCGATTTATTGCCTATATTTACCTTACGTTTTTCGATGTTTTTCGCTTCGACCATACCTTATAGCATTGCCACAGCTCCATCGGCACCAGGCTCCCCTTGTTGAAGGAGCTGGACCTCTGCGGCTGCCGCAGCGAAGACGACCACGTCATTGCCTTTTTGGCGCAGGCCGAAACAGGACCGCGCCGGGACATTGGCGCATCTATCTAAGCATCGCCGGGGCATCAGCTCAGTTTCATTAATATTTGATTATTATACAGAGGGATGCTTAAATATTAAAAAACAAAGATATAGTGTACATACATATATATATAATATACATTTGTTTAAATGTTTTTAATATGTGAATTATTTAGAGTATATTGTAGTATATTATATGATTATTAAGAATTGGTATTTGAGTCATATAGATGTTTATCGAGATATATAGATGATCAGTGTAATATCGTTATATTCTTGTAAAACAAACGTATGTGTATATATATATGCATACATGTGAATACATTTTATGTTGATACTCATGATACTAGTCATGATGATAGTCATCAGTATTTATGATTGTGGTGTTTTTTTTTGGGGTGGTGTGGGGAGGGAGGGGGTATACATTTACTTCTAATCATGTAAGTATCATTGTGTGTGTGTGTTCTTATTTGCACATGTGTACGAGAATGATGAAAAACTAAAATTCTTCGGAAAAAAAGTGGCTTCATCAAAAGGTCAACTTTTAAAAGACTGTTTAGTTATTGGATTCGAACATCAAGTTCAATAATACAGGATCCGCGGCTTGTTCAGTAAAACTTTGAAACCCCACGTTTTCCACAGATTTTCCCTGGAAAATAGACCCAGTAATTCACATCCACCATTCTTCATGGCTGCCGTGTGCCAGGAGTATTGCAGACCTTTAATCTCACTTGGTGTTGCGCGCTGACGGATGCGACGATGCTGGCGATCGCCAAGTATTGCACCAGTAGTTTGGCAGAGCTGGTTAGATTCCACGTATGGATTGGTGGGTGCGAAACTGAAAGTTAAAGAGCCTCACAAATGGCTTTTTTATTTTCTGAATCTTGACATGGGTTCCACTTGGCCCCATGTTTACTCTGTTTCAGAATAGTTCCTTCAGCGAAATGGTATTTTGGTAGCAGGAAGGTTTGGTGATGCCATGAAGGCTTCACTCTTTTGTTGATACGGTGCGGTACCACCCTGTCAAAGGACTTTCAAAGGCATCCAGACCTACCCTCTGGTAATTGAACATAGCTACAGACTTCCACCATTTCAAACAGGCAGATCATCCACCAATATATAGTCACTTTCCATAGCAAAAAGTTACGTTACCGGAGGCTAACGTATCCAGCCAACTTCATTGATCCAGGATTGGGATGTTGCAACAGGTTGCAACCCCCTCACTGCGAACTTTAAGTGGCTTCAAACACAAGCAACATGTATACATAAGAACATATGCTTGAATACATGTATACATGATTGGTGTTTGTCATCACCATCATCAGCACCACATCAGCACTGCTGCCGTCATCCTCATCATCATAGACATGATCATCATCACAACAATAACCAGCAATATAATCACAACCCTCGCAACCACAATGACAATCACAATCATCGCAATTATCTAAATCATCATAATCATCATAACCGTCATAGCCAAAAGAATCGTCATCGAACAACCTCATCATTCTCTGCATTGCTTCCTAAGCACCATTCCCTGCCCCCCAACAACAGCCCCGGCGGCAGGACTCAAATGGCTCAGTTTCTTTGGCAACCTCAATGTCACCGCAGCCGCTGTGGAGGCGATTCTCAGATAATCTAGAGAGAGGGAGAGAGAGTAATCACCGAAAAGACAGAAAAAACGTAAAGTCCCACTAAAATGGTGTATATTGTTATTTTTGTGGGTTACTATATATGTGCTCTCTTATGCTATGTATGTCATGTAGTGTTGCAGTTCTAAACATACGTTAAAAAATAGATTTACCGATTGTCTTGATAGAACCATACTATATGATTTTTAAAGATATGTCATTATGAAATAAATGTATACGTCAATTACATATATATATATAGAGTAACTTAAGCTGCAGTATAGGGACTATTTCTAATATCCAAACTTAAATGCACTTATCAACAAAATAGTATTGCCCTTATCATGTATCCAACATAGGTATTACCATATAAGTATGACACAAAATACATCATACCATATATAAACAATAGTTGCCCACCAATAGTTAAGTTACCATTAATAACCATATTTTGTGCTTTAATCGTTTATACTTAATAACCTTCATGGCCACCAAACAGCTACACCATAGCTGTTTAATAGTTAACAACCATAGTTGGTAAACCATTTTCACCAGTATCACCAATATAACCGTGAAACTGTTGATAATGATGATAGCCAAGGCCATAGTTAACCAATGTATACCAAGGTTAACCAAGCCTTGGTTATTAATTAGTTACTATTATCCATATTGGTGTTCACTAGGCTATTAACCATATTTGTTTTAATAACCAGATTAGTTACCATTAACATACTAACTAGCTATGAAATTGATACCACAAAAATCCGGTAATTATTTACCATTTCTAAATAGTTCACTAATGATACTAACACAAACCATTAATTGGTATTTAACTATTAGTTATTATGCACAATACCTATCTTATAATTAATCACCACATTAAGTAGTTATAACCATATTAATAACCATATTAACCATGCAAGCATTAATTTAAGATGAGTGGTAATAACAATAGCGAAATCCGCCTTGGCCTGAATCATCTTACTTCAGGTTGGTAGTAGTCTAAACAATAGTAGTTAGTTACTTATTATATTACCATTAATACCATTAGTTAGTTAAAGTACTATTTATTAGTGTCAATAACCATTAATAACATTAATTAAATATTAACAGTTAATATAGTTTATTATGGTTATTAGTGACCAGTTAATACCATTAATTAGTTATTGACACTATTGATGGTTATGAATACCATTTATTAGTTTTTGACTATCGACCTGTCAATACCATTTTTTTTTATAACCATTAATACCATTAAGTAGTAACTGGTAATGTTAATTAGCAACTGGTAATGTCAATGCCATCATTAATACCATCATTAATGCCATCATTAATACCATCATTAATACCATCATTAATACCATTACTAATACCATCATAAATATCAATGGATTGGTTTAAGGGAAAATCTTAACCGGAAACCATAGATTTTCCCATTAAATATGGGGCTTTCCGGTTTCAATTTCCCCTTAAACCAATCCATTGATAATAGTATCATTAATAACCATTCATTAATAACCATCATTAATAACCATCACTAATAACCATTCATTAATACTGTACCATCATTTTTAACCATTAATGCCTGTTACTAGTCTAACCATTAATCACCAGGCCTTGGCCGCCTCCAGCTGCGGCTCTTCGCTCCGCTACTTGGACCTCCGCGGCCTGGCGGCGGCCTTTCCCTACGGCGATGGCACCCGGGGGGCCGGCGAGGTGCAACCACGGGGAAACCACGGGGAAAATGTGGGAAAACCATGGGAAAAATGTGGGTTGATGAGATGTTTTTATATATATTTTGTTCATGGGAAATCTCTGGGAAAGTCTATGGGAAAAGTATGGAACATGGAGATTCACCAATAAGCATTGGCATTCGACCAAGAAGAAATGCAGTTCTACCTGCAAGAGACAACTTGACAAAACTCCAAGGAATTATGGTTGTAAGTAATAAGAAGCGGGGTTTAACCAGCAAAAGCCGTGCTGTAACCAACAAACGTGGGACTTTATATCCAAAAAAAAATGCTGGCTGGAGACGGTTGCAAATATAGGACAAATGAGTTTGATACACATCACTTGAGGAAATTGAGGTCAAACAAAACACAAACCATGCAACATATTTTTATTGAATTGCATCAACTGATGAACATATACGTCCTAATAAGATGTAAAATGGCATGTTTCAGCACAACAAATAGATAATGTGGCAAACCCAATGACAATAGGAATTTAACCTTAGTGGCAAGATGGACAGACATGTGGGACGTCAGAACATCAGCCAGCAATCAGGGCACAGATGGGGGTTTTCTGTTAATACTCTTGAGGATACCAAATGCAATGTACCATGCCAATTGGTATATTTCGGGATGCCAAAAATGATTAGTTATGACAAAATTTGGCGTAGTACTAGATGACATTCATGTCACTCTTGAGTATGGAATTGACTTAGGTGGTTGTCAACTTGGGTGTGTTTTGTAGGTCAAACGCCAAAAAACACGACAACGCATGCAGTTTGGCAAAACGCGGCGGGATAGATGTTGTCCCCCTCTCAGCATTTTTCAATCACTGCGGCTAACGGCATCTATACACCAGTTGTAGATTAATACTCATTGAGAGACATAGAACGGGCCGTAGTTTTTTCAATGAATACATATTCACATATGTGATATATTATAATGACACCACGTTTGGACCGGAACATTCCGCTGCCTTTAGTGTAAACTTCAAGTCAAGATGCAGTCAAGATGCAAACCTCAAGAATCAAACATGTCCAAAGTCATCCAGTCATCAATCATCATCAAAAATAACACAAACCATACTGTAGCACTTTTTGTCCCTCTTGTTGGCCGGAAGATTGGCCGACCAGGTGAGAAATCTTTTCCCACAGCTGATCTCCACCGAACTCCATCACTGACAGCAGCTGTCGGATCCGTGGGAAAATGTGGGATCCATCCGTGGGGGCGGTACCCCAAATTCCGTGGTTTTGGAGACATGGGATCCAGGGATCCCAAAGACCCATGACGCAGATGATAGAGTGGAGAAATGCTTCCGAGTGGCGCAAATGCTTTTTTGTGACCCCTTCCATGGCAGGAACATTTGGGTTATTGAGGGATATTGTTACATGTGTGAATCATCAATCCTAAGAATCTCCAATTCGAAACCTGCAGTGTTTGTCATATCGCCGTAGCATCATCCCATTGCTGGTGGTATACCCAGCATCACGAAACCTCGATTGGAGATGGTTTATGGTAGTTTAGCATATACTTATCACATAGTCATCCATTATTATCCCATTATTATCCCATTATCATCCCATTATCCCATATTCATATTATCCCATTAATATGTTACATCCCATTGGCTTTCCATCATTTCCGCTGCCAGGCTGGTGGCAGACGAAAGGTGAACAGCCTTTATAACCGCCTCGGAAAATTCAGTTGTCTTCGCAGCGGCCAGGGAGGCATTGGAAAACCATGGCGTTTTTGGAACTTTTGAAACGTTATATTTGGAACTGATGAAGGATAGAATCTTAAGACCCTCATAGATTGATTTTATAATATGGACTACAGGATCCTCATGGGTTTATGTAATTATATTTTTTCTTAAATCAATAATAATAATTATTATTATATGTATATATATATATGTATTATAGAATCAAATGTAGATTAAAATGGGTTTTCCACTGTGATCATCCAGAAATGAGCTTGACGATGGCATGCAATGGCCTTGGTGTCATCATTTTTTGTCTCTGGGTTCGCCAACAGGCTCAAAGCACGCCAAGCCAAGGCCAAGTTTCAGTGGATGAAAGCTACAGAATCATTGATGTTTCAACGGTGGACCGAAAGCAAATTTGTTTTGTGGGCATGAGTCATGTCATCATTTTCAGGTTTGAGCTGTGTGTTTTGTGCCATTTATATATATATAATATGTATATATATATGATATATATGACACATAAGTATTATTGACCAATTCTAATCGATTATATGTTTAAGTGGTGTATGTGTTTTCCTGCTGTTTCATGTGCAGACACAGAGATTTACTGCGGGTCCTAACTTCGGCTGATGCATTCCACCTGGTGAAGCCCCGCTAAGCTAACCTTAAGTAGCCTCACTGCTTTGACTACGTTCATCCTTGTATACATGATAAATATGAATATACAAATATAATATTAATATATATATATATAATAGCGCCATACATATACCATGACATTATACGATTATTTTTTTTAAAGTATTTATATACATGTACAATATAAATATATATATATAGATGTGTGTCTGGTTGTGTCGTGATCCAGTCAAGTCCTACTCACCATCTGGCGGGCGCGCGCTATGTTTCATGTCGCTGTGTCGCTGCTGAGCGGGCAGACCACAGAGATCCGGGTGCAAGGGAGGACGCGCATGGACCACATCAAACATGAGGATCCTGGGTTCGTGGCGGCACACCTTGTAGGGATTCAACCCCAGGTGACCACCATTCAGAATGGCTTAACAGGGGCGGATCTCAAAACGGTCAAACCACTGGTTGTTTTGTTTTTTCCTGAAAATGTGAAACGCATACCCCAACATGGCACTCTTAATGGGTCAAAGAGTGATGAACTATCATGTTTTTTTGGCACCGTATTTTCAGACAAACCCGGATAGACTTTGGTGAATGGTGGATCAATGGGGATCTTACCCTGAGGTAAAATTGGATGAATGTTTTGGTGCTTATCGTTTTGTTGGTGAAAGTGCCGGTAAACGTGGGTAAAGCCAGCATTGACTGACAGGTGAAGTTTGGGTAACATGCCAACAAGATAACCGTGATCTCTACGTTCAAAACAGGATGTACTATATAACAATCTATCTGGTTGCTCAAAAAGAATGATGAATATCCAAATGACATGGAATAGCGTCGCGTAAGATGATCCGATTAAAAAGGGAATATGCCCCATATCATCCTCGTACTTTTTATTTTCAGTATTCAATATCTTCAATTATTATTTTAAGTAGAACCAGTAGCATTTTTTGGGGGGTTCACAGGCTGCTTGGTGAATGGTTGGTGAATGAATTGTTTTTTTTCAATCTACTTGGCCTACCCTTGGATAATCCAACATGGTTGGCTGGGAAATGCCATTCATCGTGGGATGTTCCGCTGCCACTTGGGTTGGTTTTTAATATACCGAATGCTGACGAAGTGACGTAGTGGGATACATCCGTGGCCACGACCAAAAGTTAGGTATCAACTAGTCAACAAGTGGCTCGTCATTTTTAGTGTTGAATCATGTTGAACTATCCAAATTTTCTGTGGTTGGTTTGATTCAATCTCATTGCATGTGACATATTTCAATTTGGCCAGATTAGGAGGATCAATTCTTTGCCCTGTCAGGCGCAGAAGAATCTGAAAATTGGACTCTATGCGTGGCGTGGATTGCAAAGGCTGTGCAGCGTGATTGTTACAAGATATTGTATAGTTTCTTTTTACATTTGTCGTGGTCAATGGTTGGGGAATTTGGTACTCATCGCCATATGTATACGAATGTATGTGTATATATATATATACATATATATTTATTATAGTGTATATATATATGTATATCTATCTATCTATCTATTTATTTTTAAAAATGCACATATTCAGTATCATTTTATGCACATATACATACATACAATCACACAAACAACCAAACAAACAACCAAACAAACAACCAAACAAACAAACAAAACAAACATACACACATACAAACATACATACATACATACACATACATACACATACATACCATACCATACCATACCATACCATACCATACATACATACATACATACATAGATACATACATAGATACATACATAGATACATACATAGATACATACATAGATACATAGATACATACATAGATACATACATACATAGATACATACATAGATACATACATACATATATAGATACATAGATACATACATAGATACATACATAGATACATACATAGATACATAGATACATAGATACATAGATACATAGATACATAGATACATACATACATACATTACATACATTACATACATTACATACATTACATACATTACATACATTACATACATTACATACATTACATACATTACATACATTACATACATTACATGCATTACATGCATTACATGCACTACATGCACTACATGCACTACATGCACTACATGCACTACATACATTACATACATTACATACATTACATACATTACATACATTACATACACTACATACATTTACATACATTTACATACATTTACATTACATACATTACATACATTACATACATTTACATTACATACATTTACATTACATTACATTACATTAATTACATTAATTACATTAATTACATTAATTACATACATACATTACATTACATTACATTACATTACATTACATACATACATACATACACATCATATATATATATATACATATGCGTGTACGTATGTATGTGTGTGCCAGGAATAATGCCGCGCCCATAAAGGGCTCTTGGCAGGGTATCCAAGAATAGCCATGATGACAGGCGATGGGTACCAAGCTGGCTGTGCAACCCTGGCTAATGATGGGTGACACCTGCATAGCATGCATCTAAAATGAAATTTTGCAGAGCAATAAAAAGTACAAAGAGTATACTTAGTTGATATGGACAGCATGTCAGCAAACTGTACGACATGATTTAAGGTTGTTTTACTACTATTGGCGGGGTGGGTTACACGCACATATATATATATACATACATACATAATTTTACATGCGTATTTATACATGTATATATATATATGATATGAGCAACCGACAAAATTATTGTAATACTAATTGCTAATTTAGTTTTGCTTCGCCATGGACTTTCCGAGGTTGCACAAAACCTTCATAACCGATAAGGGACGACCCTATACCGATACCCCATTTGTGATACCTCCGGGAATACTGAAATCCTCACAACCGATAGGGGACGGCCTAATTTGTGCATGGCATTAAATTTCACGTGTAATTTGTCCGCTACTCACATGTATATATATATATGTGTGATTATATATGCACATATATACACAATATAACACAGTTCAATGCAATCAAATACAATGCAACAACATACGAACAAAATACAAACACAATACAATACAATATCTAGCGCATGTCGATGGCTCTTTTCATCGCAGTTGGATCCGTGGACTCACAAAGGTTAGTGGATTCAGCCGGAGAGCTCCTCAAGCCCTGGCAGCGAGCAGAGGAGGTGGGAGCAGCCCGGCAAGGGTATTTAAAATCACCATATTTGTTGGTGTTACCCCCTGGCTATTGAAAATGGCCCATAGAAATAGTTGATTTACCTATTGAAGCTGGTGATTTTCCATAGCTATCTATATATATATATAAAAACGTTTGCCAGAGGGCATCCATGTTTTTATCCATCATGCTAATCAAGGTAAAACTGGAGGGAACATCCATTTTGACAACCAATGAAATTTTGTAATTACTGGGGTTATAAAAACGTATACTGCATACCGGCATACCCATATATACCCTATAGGATTGGATCGCAAGATCTTGCATTAGTCCCTATAATTAGGATCTTTGGATGACTAGGTGTAGTAATATGAATCTACGGTATAATTTTGATCTGATAGTGTTATTACTTTTAACTGATGAATTATAAATATATTCACAATTGGTTTATAATGAACATATTGGGACATAGACAGGGATGCAATGGAGATATTTTCGGATTATGATTTCGTGTAATTGTGCAGAGTGCATTGCGCACACATGCACATGATCCTGGAGTATTAATAGGTATAGCAAATGGAATTACAATTGATGTGATGAATGGGGTCATAGTGGAATAATGTAACACGATCAGATTTAGAACGGGAATTGTGTTCTGATGTTTGGGACTGTAATTCCAACTGGGTTGTAATCCAAATTTGCATGATGATTATTATTAATTGATATTCCAAATTCCAACAGTCATCATGCAAATTTGGATTACAACCCATTTGCATAAATTATTGTAATTTGCATGACTGATTTGGATTGCAGTTATTATTGAGATTGGAACTGGCATAGCAAAGTTAATGGGATGACACTGGGTGGCTAATGGAATAATAATCGAAAACTATATTTAAATACAGTGCAATCAAATAATCAATAGATAATGACATTTACCAATAATCCTTTCTTAATTTAATTGGCGTGATTATGTGTAATTTAAGTTCGGGATAATCAAATGGCAACCATTTTCCTAGTCATTTGTTGCATACTTGGGATGGATCAAGGCCACATGCACCCAACATCCCCAAGTATCAACCTTCATTAAAGTGCGAAAAATATGGGGAATATGTGTGAAAAATATAGGGGACATATATCCTCTGGTAAACGTTTACATAGCGAAGTGGAACATCACCATCTTTTATTGAGTAAATCAACGAACTAAATGTGCCAACCCCCTCCACAAGATATCACAAGATATGAGCGCAGATCGCATCAGTGACAGGTTGGCCTCCAAGAGGGCTCTTCAGCGGCTTGGTGCCCGCCACGGCCGGACACGTGGGTTTCATGCGTTTTAGCCACTACCTGCGTTTAATTTATGTGCGTTTAAAGTACTATTGTATTGTATATATATATATTGATATATGTATATAATTATACAACTTAAATCGGAAATAAAACCAAAAAACAAAGATCAAACATCAAACCAAGAAGATGACAAAGGATGAGTGGCAACCGGTAGCTGTTTTTGCTGTTGGGAATTGTTGTTTTGGATTTCATGGTGAACTGTGCGGGATCTGAATGGCAGTTTTTAAGTTTCTGAATGGCAGCTACATGGAAGCTACATGGAAGTGACCAACGCAAAATGCGGATGAAACCATCATCAGTTCAAGCTCTAGCAATCAATTTGCTCCTTCAAACCTCACTTGTTTTCTTCTTTTTCAATGTCTTCCAGTGCAACCCTTAAGTTTTTCAGGAACAAAATATGTTGAATCATTTTAGATCTCCAAGTTCAAACTTGGATGAGTCATTGTGAATATCCACCTTCCAAAGAAACAACACGCATCGCCTTCAAACCCCAGTTCTTCCACTCGATCCCATCTGAATTTTGAATCTCATTTTAAACTTCTAAGTATATCTCTAACATTCTCTAACTATATCTCCAAATTCTAACAGATTCCCATGATTCCCGGCAAAAATCACCAACAAAAACATCATCCCCCCATGATTCCCATCCCCATCATCTCTCAAGGTCACCGCCGTGGTCCGCTGTGCGCACCTCATCGGGGACCGCACGGCGCGCGGCTTCGCGGTGCTGAAGGCGGATGGCGGCGTGGTGGCCTGGGGCCATCCCAGCTATGGGGGCGACAGCGCCATGGCGAAAAGCACGGGGCTTTTGGGCGGTTTTGGGCAGTTTTTGGGGGGAAACCTGGTGAATTTCGGGAATTTCAGGAGGAACAATGTAGACTTGTAACCGGAAAGGTATGGACAATTCATGGGGGACGTATGGAAAAGGTATGGAACAAATTGTGACTTAAAGGTGAACACTGATGATTTAGTCAACCATCAAAACTGGAAGAAGCTAACGAGCAATGCATGGTGAATTGCCATCAAAAATCGTGGCTATAGTGGCGATACATTGATGGGTGAGTCGGTAGTTGATCAAGCATCATTTTTTCATTTAAACAAACACACATTATTGTAGAATTTGATTTGTTAGTTGGTGAAACGGATGTGGGATGAATGCATCACTAATTATGGTATATACTATGTATAGTTGATGAAAGCACGCTGGGAATTCATAGGATTTACCTATGAGGCACCTGGTAAATCAGGCCTCCGAGAACACTGCAAATGGTTCACAACAGGAACCTCTGAGAATTAAAAAACATATGGTTTCCTGCAGATCTCCTTGAACCCATCCATTCATTAAATCACCGTTAAATCCTCATTTCAATCACCATGAAATCCTCATTTTGGGCTGGTAAAATCGCCATTTCTAGAGGGATATTCCCGAGCCCCCGAGGTCGCCGCGCTGCGCCACAACTCAAAGACGTAGCCAAAGTCTTCGCCAACTGCGGGGCCTTTGCGGTGCGCGGGCTGATGATTTTTTGGCATGTCATCATCCTCCATTTGAATACATAAGATAGTGATCTAATTATTTAAGGGCTGCCGCCCCTGCCGCCGACCCCGGAAGAATTGGCAATGAATGAAACCAAATTGGCAGAAATATTTGTCGGTGCTTCGCACTTGCAGGTTTTCTCCTTTTTCAAATGTATATTTTCATGAAATATACTTGATATGTTTGAATGAAATATATTTGATAAAATATTTGATATAGTAAGAAAACCCACCCACCAAACCCTTTCACCCCCCTGAGCAGTTCCTCGACGACTTCAACCAGAGTGTGGGTCTTGAGCTCGTGAATTATAAAATAAATAAACCCTCCCATTTATCCCCCCTTTTTGCGGCAAGGTGCTGTGTTGTTCCGTGGCAAGGCGCAGAACTGAAATAAAATACACAGGCATCCATCATGTGTGGCACTAGTGGTTCAGGTATCGCATGCAATGATGTTGTTGGTGTTCGAAAAGCATATGGGAAAATACGATGGTTGGACATGCTAGGCCATCGTATTTTCCCACGTCATTTTTGGAGGATTTGGGAGCGAAGGTTTGCTGATTTTCTTGAGCGATTAATTAGATATTGAGGATGTATATCCTCCTTCAAATTTCAGCTACGAAATGGGGAGGACTTGGGCTACAGTACAGATTGCCAGCCAGCATTTTTTTGTACAAACAGGAGGGGTTGCGCCCCCCATTTTGTATTTGGAATCATTTTGTAGTTGATTCCTTTCGCTGCATGCATTTTCATTTGTAGTTATATATGTTGAGTCAGTTGAAGCATGCAACATAAAATTTCATTAGCATGGACAAACAGATCATGAAGCTACAGAATGCCATCTAACAAACCGCACGGGGTCAACACTTGATCCAACTAAATTCAATCATTGACAACTACAAAATGTTCTCCGAATTTATGTTGGTCGGAACTTTGGAATTCAAAGACCCAACTACAAAATGTCATTGGGAAAAATCATGTTAGAAATTCCGACGTTCAGCTATTTTTTTGACTTCAGATGCATTGGATTTTGTAGTACTGGTTTTGAATTGTTTTCCGAGCCAGAAAGAGTTATGTTCTTCATTTTGTAGCTGAAAAAAAAGTACATGCACTTGCATTTTGTAGTTGTGCACCCTGTGCATTCCGCTCTGTATCTACCAAAACCGTCTGCACAACTCCTCCCCCCTTATCTGAACCCTGATGGATGTATCAGTTTCTATTAGCAAGTCTGTTCAGAATGCGTTGGTATGCAGGCACCTTTAGCACTTTGAAAACCATCCGTGGCAAGGTGCAATATTATTGCTAGTGGCAGGTGCAGCAACTAGCCACGGCGCAGAGTATGCATAGCATGTTTTTTCTTGGCACTAATGGTTTGAACAAGGTGTACGACTTGTATGTAGTTTTCGGCTAAGTGTCTTTTTAAGTGCCTCCGCCACGCCCAAACAGCAGGGCCCGAAAGGACGGACCGGGCCTGCCGGCAACGGCCCCTGCTGCCTAATGTTGCTTTCTGAACCTACAAGAAAAGTAGCCATCTTCGAGCTTGCCAAACTCAGAAACGGCGCCTCCGCCACGCCCAAACAGCAGGGCCCTGAAGGACGGACCGGGCCTGCCGGCAACGACCCCTACTGCCTAACGTTGCTTTCTGAACCTACAAATGGCAACACCCTGAAGGACGGACTGGGCCTGCCGGCAACGGCCCCAACGGCCTAACGTTGCTTTCTGAACCTACACGAAAAGTAGCCATCTTCGAGCTTTCCAAGCTCAGAAACGACGCCTCCGCCACGCCCAAACAGCAGGGCCCTGAAGGACGGACCGGGCCTGCCGGCAACGGCCCCTACTGCCTAACGGTGCTTTCTGAACCTACAAGAAACGTAGCCATCTTCTAGCTTTCCAAGCTCAGAAACGGCGCCTCCGCCACACCCAAACAGCAGGGCCTTGAAGGACGTTCCCTACTGCCTAACGTTGCTTCTGAAACCCTAGAAACAGACAATCTGTGCAAAAAAATTAGCTGCTGCTGCTGCTGCTGCTAGCAGTAGTAGTAGCAGCAGCAGCAGTAGTGTCTTCTGAAATCCTAGAGAACTATATATAGCTGGCCCTGCTGTTTCGAAGCACCTCCGAAACAGTAAAACACCACCTAATTTCGTGCCGAAAAGGACACAAAATCGCAGCAAAAACCTGCCTAACGTGTCTTCTGAAATCCTAAAGAATCTTATTAGAATTAGATAGAATTAGATCTATTGCTGCTGCTACCGGCCTGCTACCTACTTACTGGCTGCTAGCTACTGGCTGCTGCTGAAGCCGCGAAAATCTCCTGAGCTGCTGGCTACTGGCTGCTGCTGAAGCCGCGAAAATCTCCTAAACTATAAATATAAAACTATATATAGCTGGCCCTGCTGTTTCGAAGCACGTCCGAAACAGTAAAACACCACCTAATTTCGTGCCGAAAAGGACGCAAAATCGCAGCAAAAAAGCTGCCGAACGTGTCTTCTGAAATCCTAGAGAAGCTTAGTAGATCTATCGAGTTTCAAAACCACGTTTAAAAACTGCCTAACGGGTCGTCTGAAATCCTAGAAAAACAACCTTTTTCGAGAGATCGAGGGATTCTGTTGCCTGCAGCTACTGGCCGTAAAACGTGGCAGTGAAGGATCAAAAGTATGCCTATAACTACTTTTTCCTGCTGGCAGTACTGCTGGCAGTAAAACAGCTTCCAAAAAAGCAGCTGCCGGCAGGAAAACGCCAAACAGCTTCGAAAAAAGTGTCAAAATCACGCTAAAAAACCTTCTACCATCCCTTCTGAAATCCTAGAAAAACACAATTTTTCGAGAGATTCTATCGCCTGAAGGTGTTCGAGATCTCGCACAAAGTTACCATCGAACTTGAACCTCGAGGATGCGGCCTCGAACGAACAGATCAGGGCGGGAAGGGCAACCAAGGAGCCCCACGTACCTCGAGGAGACTCCGGGAAGGACCCCCCACCGGTAAAACAAAAACCCCGGAGTCAATGAATCGACGTACGTGACCGGTGGGAGGGGGACCCAACAGGGTCCCCCGGCAAAGGGTCATTGTTGTTGTTGTTGTTCTTGTTGTTGTTGTTGTTGTTGCTGTTGCTGTTGCTCTTGCTGTTGCTGCCATAAAATAAAATTAAAATAGAATCCTGTTGCCTGCTGCCTGCTGCTGCCTGCTGCTCCTGCCTGCTGCTGGCTGCTGCCTGCTCCTGCCTGCTGCTGGCTGTTGCTGGCTGTTGCTGGCTGCTGCTGGCTGCTGCTGGCTGCTGCTGGCTGCTGCTGGCTGCCTAACGCCGGCTGCTGCTGGTTGCTGCTGCCGGATGCTGCCTGCCAGCCACCTACTGCTGCCTGCTGCTGGCTGCTGCTGGCTGGTGCGGGCTGCTGCTGGCTGCTGCTGGCTGCTACCTGCTGCCTGCTGCCTGCTGCTGCCTGCTGCTGCCTGGTAGTAAAAGTAGCAGTGCAGTACCTCTTCTTCCCTTACGCGCTCCCCCTTGCATCGGCCGGGGTCAGCGAATTATTATTATTCTTTCCTGGCAGCTGTATGCTCCCCCTTGCATCGGCCGGGGTCAGCGAATTATTATTATTCTTTCCTGGCAGCTGTGTCATAAACTCTTTTTCCCTTACGCACTCCCCCTTGCGTCTGCCGGGGTCGGCGGATATAAACATGAAGCTTATGGACTGTCGAGAGCATAGTATGCTCCGGTACCAAAGACACGACTTGATCTAAGAAAATTGCAGCCTATATAAACATGAAGCTTATGGACTGTCGAGAGCACAGCAGAGGTGGCACATGGTTGTTGTTGTTGTTGTTGCTGTTGCTGTTGGTGTTGGTGTTGTTGTTGGTGTTGGTGTTGTTGTTGTTGTTGTTGTTATGTTGTTTAGCTACTTTTTTCTCCTGCTGCTGAAGACGCTCCTACTGCTGCTGCTGCTGCTGCTCTGCTGCTGCTGGTGGCTGGCTGCGACGCCTAAAATCGAACCATTCCCAGCGGCAAATCCCCATGGCAGTGCTAGTGCTGCTGGTGGCTGGCTGCGACGCTTAAATACCACTCCCAGCGGCAAATCCTCATGGCAGTGAAGGACGGAAAAGCTCCTACTGCTGCTGGTGGCTAGCTGCGACGCTTAAAATCGAACCACTCCCAGCGGCAAATCCCCATGGCAGTGAAGGACGGAAAAGCATCAAAATTGCGCCCAAAAACTCCCTAATGTAACTTGTGAAACCCATAGTTAAAGGAATACTCTCTAATGTAACTTCTGACACCTAGAGAAAATGAGCTATTTTAGCTACTTTTTTCTCCTGCTGCTGAAGACGCTCCTACGAACCACTCTCAGCGGCAAATCCCCAGGCAGTGAAGGACGGAGAAGCATCAAATTTGCCCCCAAAAACTCCCTAATGTAACTTCTGAAACCCATAGAAAATGATTATTTTAGTGATTTTAGTGATGATTTTAGCTATGATGATTTTAGTGATGATTCTAGCTACATGTTTCTCCTGCTGCTGAAGACACTGTTTCCTGCGGCTGCTGCTGCTGCTGCTCCTGCTCCTGCTACTCCTTCTGTTCAAAAACGTATCTTCAAAAGGGAATCGCCTCAAACCGAACCACTCCCAGCGGCAAATCCCCATGGCAGTGAAGGACGGAAAAGCTTCAAAATTGCGCCCAAAAACTCCCTAATGTAACTTCTGAAACCTAGAGAAAATGAGCTATTTTAGCTACTTTTTCCTCCTGTTTCCTCCTGCCTGCTGCTGCTGCTGCAGGCATCTTCAAAAGGCAGTCGCCTAAAACCGAACCGCTCCCAGCGGCAAATCCCCATGGCAGTGAAGGACGGAAAAGCATCAAAATTGCGCCCAAAAACTCCTTAATGTAACTTCTGAAACCTAGAGAAAATGAGCTATTTTAGCTACTTTTTCCTCCTGTTTCCTCCTGCTGCTGCTGCTGCTGCAGGCATCTTCAAAAGGCAGTCGCCTAAAAT